CCCCCCCGAGGAGCCTCTCCCCCCGGAGGAGCCTCTCCCCCCCCCCCGGAGGAGCCTCTCCCCCGGAGGAGCTTCTCCCCCCAGGAGGAGCTTCTCCCCCCAGGAGGAGCCGCTCCCCCCGGAGGAGCCTCTCCCCCCGGAGGAGCCTCTCCCCCCAGGAGGAGCCGCTCCCTCCGGAGGAGCCTCTCCCCCCAGGAGGAGCCGCTCCCTCCGGAGGAGCCTCTCCCTCCAGAGGAGCCTACCCCCCCCCCCGGAGGAGCCTACCCCCCCCCCGAGGAGCCTCTCCCCCCGGAGGAGCCTCTCCCCCGGAGGAGCCTCTCCCCCGGAGGAGCCTCTCCCTCCAGAGGAGCCTCTCCCCCCCCCCGAGGAGCCTCTCCCCCCGTGCGCAGCCTCTCCCCCGGAGGAGCCTCTCCCCCGGAGGAGCCTCTCCCCCCGGAGGAGCCGCTCCCCCCGGAGGAGCCTCTCCCCCCCCGGAGGAGCCTCTCACCCCCCGGAGGAGCCGCTCCCCCCAGAGTAGCCTCTCCCTCCCGGAGTAGCCTCTCCCTCCCGGAGGAGCCTCTCCCCCCCCGGAGGAGCCTCTCCCCCCGGAGGAGCCTCTCCCCGCCTGAGGAGCCTCTCCCCCCGGAGGAGCCTCTCCCCCCCCCGGAGGAGCCTCTCCCCCCCGAGGAGCCTCTCCCTCCAGAGGAGCCTCCCCCCCCCCTGAAGGAGCCTCTCCCCCCGAAGGAGCCTCTCCCCCCGAAGGAGCCTCTCCCCCGGAGGAGCCTCTCCCCCCCCGAGGAGCCTCTCCCCCCCCCCCGGAGGAGCCTCTCCCCACTGGAGGAGCCTCTCCCCCCGGAGGAGCCTCTCCCCCCCGGAGGAGCCTCTCCCCCCGGAGGAGCGAGTGCCGCTGGCGTGGCAATGAAGGGGGAGGCGGGTCACACTGTGAGCTCAGGTCACAGGGCGAGGTCAGGTCACAGGGCGAGGAGGAGCAGGAGGCGCCTGGGAAACGGAGGCTGGTCCCCCCTAGGGAAGGCCCCTCCAGGCCATGAGGCCCCATGGCCATGACCAGGTCTCTTCCCACCACCCCCAGGGTTCCCTCCGCCTCCTCCTCTGCCTCCTCCTCCTCCTCCTCTGGCTCTGCCCGGCGTCCCAACGAACCCCAGGGCAGCTTCTAAAAGACCTTCTCAGCCACTCGGCCTCCCACACCCCACTCAGAACCCCACACACCCCACACCCCACTCAGAACCCCACACCCCACTCAGAACCCCACACCCCACACCCCACTCAGAACCCCACACCCCACACCCCACTCAGAACCCCACACACCACACCCCACTCAGAACCCCACACACCACACATCACTCAGAACCCCACACCCCACACCCCACTCAGAACCCCACACCCCACACCCCAACACCCCCCCCTCAGAACCCACCGGATGCCTCACCTGGAGACTGCTTCTCCCTCCCCTGCGAGGAGGAGGAGGAGGAGGAGGAGGAGGAGGAGGGCGAGGAGGGCGAGGAGGGCGAGGAGGGCGAGGAGGGCGAGGAGGGCGAGGAGGGCGAGGAGGGCGAGGAGGGCGAGTTCCTCTGGAGCCGAGGTGGGAAGGGGAGCTGGCAGTGCTGCTGGCCCCGTGGGCGACTGGCCGGCCAGGATGTGGCCCCGGTGCTGGCGGCTCAGCCAGGGCTCTGGGTTGGGGCAGAGGCCGCTGTTCCGTGGCCCAGGCGGGCGGCCTGTTCCCGCTCGGCACTCGGGACCCGCACACCTGTGCCCGGGTCCCTCCTCCCCGGCTTCCCAGCTGGTGGGCTGGCTGGCGAACGGCTCCTGGAGTCCGCGGGGCGGCCGCCCGGCCACGCCGGGGCCCAGGCCTCACCGGAGGGCTGTGCGCCCACGGGAGGCAGCCGGAGGCCCCTCAGCGGCCCGCGGGCCTGGGGGACCCGGGCGGTAGGGCCAGCCCCCGGGGTGGTCCCGGGAGACCCAGTCCTGGGACCCGTCGGTCGGGCAGCGTGGTGGACACACGGCCAGGACAAGGGCTGGGGAGGAAGGGCCGCCAGGACACGCCGTGAGCCTCTGGACTCGGTGGCAGTGCTCCCTGCGGGTCCGCCGGAGACGGGGCCGTGGGGAGGCAGGTCCGGGTCAGCCGGCACCGGGGAGGCCCTGGCCCACAGCACGCGGCCCGGAGAGAGGAGGGCTGGCGGCGTGGCTCAGGGACCGGCACTGACCGGGAGCCGGCGCTCAGGCTCCGGGCCGGTCGGCACAGGCCCGGGGGCGGCGGGAGGGCTGGGGATCTGCTGACCAGGGCCCAGCCACGGAACTGCCCAGGCTCCGTGGGACCCGGCCGTGGGGGCCGTGGGGGCCGTGGGGGTGCGCACGCTCCGGTGCAGCCACGACAGCGAGACGTCCTGCGCAGACGCCGCAGGCCCGTCCCCCTCCCCACGCCCGCCGGGCCCCTCCCCCTCCCCACGCCCGCCAGGCCCCTCCCCCTCCCCACGCCCGCCAGGCCCGTCCCCCTCCCCACGCCCGCCCCCGCCCCCTCCCCCTCCCCACGCCCGCCAGGCCCCTCCCCCTCCCCACGCCCGCCAGGCCCCTCCCCCTCCCCACGCCCGCCCCCGCCCCCTCCCCCTCCCCACGCCCGCCGGGCCCCTCCCCCTCCCCACGCCCGCCCCCGCCCCCTCCCCCTCCCCACGCCCGCCGGGCCCCTCCCCCTCCCCACGCCCGCCCCCGCCCCCTCCCCCTCCCCACGCCCGCCAGGCCCGTCCCCCTCCCCACGCCCGCCAGGCCCGTCCCCCTCCCCACGCCCGCCGGGCCCCTCCCCCTCCCCACGCCCGCCCCCGCCCCCTCCCCCTCCCCACGCCCGCCGGGCCCCTCCCCCTCCCCACGCCCGCCCCCGCCCCCTCCCCCTCCCCACGCCCGCCAGGCCCGTCCCCCTCCCCACGCCCGCCAGGCCCGTCCCCCTCCCCACGCCCGCCAGGCCCCTCCCCTCCCCACGCCCGCCAGGCCCCTCCCCCTCCCCACGCCCGCCAGGCCCCTCCCCCTCCCCACGCCCGCCAGGCCCGTCCCCCTCTCCACGCCCGCCAGGCCCCGTCCCCCTCCCCACGCCCGCCAGGCCCCTCCCCCTCCCCACGCCCGCCAGGCCCCTCCCCCTCCCCACGCCCGCCCCCGCCCCCTCCCCCTCCCCACGCCCGCCAGGCCCGTCCCCTCCCCACGCCCGCCAGGCCCCTCCCCCTCCCCCCGCCCGCCCCCGCCCCCCCCCCCCCCCCCCGCCCGCCAGGCCCGCCCCCTCCCCACGCCCGCCAGGCCCCTCCCCCTCCCCACGCTCGCCAGGCCCCTCCCCCTCCCCGCTGCCGGCTGGGCTCCGCGTCCGCCCCCTCTCCCGCCTCCCTCAGACGGAGCTCACCTGCTTCCCGGTGGGAGTCAGGGCTTCGTGGTGGATGGGCCCGGAGCCCCGCCGGGGAGACGCGGGAGGCGCTGAAACCAGGCCCAGCGTGTTCCGGGCGCCACCCCCTGCGTCACTGCACACGGACTTCCCCCGTCTGCGTGCTGACCTGTCCCTGCGGCCGACCTCCCGGGCGACCCCACCGCAGTCATCGTTGTTACTCCTCCAGGATGTCTCCGGGGAGTTAGAGAGCGGGAGGGAGGGAGAGGAGAGACACACCGACAGGCCACCTCCTGCCGGCGCCCAACCAGGGCCCAGGCCAGTGAGGAGCCTGCAACCGAAGTCCGTGCCCTGGACCGGAATCGAACCCGGGACTCTGCGGTCCGCAGGCTGACGACGCTCCATCCGCGGAGCCACCGGCCGGGGCTGGCTGCAGTCAGGACTTAACCCTGTCACACTGAGCCCCGTGTCCAGACGGCGGCTCCCTCATGACCTGTCCCAGACCACACACCTCGTCCCTCCGGCACCTCTGGCTTGCAAGACCCTGAGCAACGGGAAATGAAACCCGGCCCTCTGCCTTGAGCCGGGCGCCTGCCCACCGGTCCCCAGCTCAGGGTGCCCCACCCGCCCTGACCCTGGGTGCCCGCCTGGCCCCATCTCAGGTGCCCCACCCGCCCTGACCCTGAGTGCCCGCCTGACCCCAGCTCGGGTGCCCCACCCGCCCTGACCCCGGGTGCCCGACTGCCCCCCAGCTCAGGTGCCCCACCCGCCCTGACCCTGGGTGCTCGCCTGGCCCCAGCTCGGGGTGCCCCACCCGCCCTGACCCTGGGTGCCCGCCTGCCCCCAGCTTGGGGTGCCCCACCCGTCCTGACCCCGGGTGCTCGCCAGCCCCCCAGTTCAAGGTGCCCCACCCACCTTGACTCCGGGTGCCTGCCGGCCAGGCGCAGGGGGTGGCAGTGCAAGGCACCCGCCCCGCCCACCGCTGGGAGGTCAGGTTCACTCGGCTCCGACCCCGCCTCGCCCTCCCGGAGAGGAGAGCAGCGTTTGTGGAGCCCTGGCTGGCTGACCTCCATGGCAACCTGGTCCGGAAGCGCCGGGCATGTCGCAGCACGGCGTCCGGCGTCCTGAGGGGAGACGGGCGCCAGGAGGGCCTGTGCAGACACGTCACCCGAGCATTTCCAGAGCATCCACCCCGGGGCCGGCACCCTTCAGTGCCGGGCGGGCACCCTTGCTGACGGCGCCCCTCCCCCTTCAGACCTGTGTCTGCGCCTGGCACGCACCACCCCACCCCACCCCACCCACCGGGGCCCGATCCCCCCAGCACAGGGCCTGACCCCGCGACCTCAGCCGGGGTCGCCGCACGCTGGTGAAGGCACTCGAGTGTGACGTTCTCAGTCGTCGTGGGCCGGGCGGTCTCTGTCGCAGCCACTCAGCACCGTCCCTGGCACACGCCACACGCGTGCACGGCCCCGGCCGGTCCTCGGGGAGCCTGAGGACCCCACCTCCTCCGGCTCCCCTGGGCCCGCCCCCCACCCAGCCTACAGGTCCGTTTGTAACAAACCCAGACCCCACGCCGCCTCCTGCCGCCCCAGCACCCAGCACCGGCCACCCCCACGGCCCCGAAACCACCGGGCGAGACACAGTGTTAAAAAAATAAGCTGCGTGACATTTATTCGTCTTGTTAACATTAATATCCGTAGAAACATTTTTATTGTCAGTATAAAAATTAACAGTTTCATTAAATACTTTCTCCCATGTCCTAGCACGTACAATCAGTGTATTCCGCATTCGTGGTGCGTGGCGGCCGGGCGTGAGCAGACACAATCCTTACCCCCGGGGCCCTGGGCGGGGAAACGCCCTCTGCCGCCGGCACCAGCCGGACCCACCACCAGGCCAGCGAGGCCCGCCCGCCAGGCGCCGGCGGGAGGGGCCCCACTGTCAGCAGAGGCACCGGCATCTCCGTGCCTGAGGGCTGCTCTCACAAACCTGGAAGCCGCTACCCCATCCCGCGAGAACAGGCGGGTCTGAGGGCGCGCAGGGGCGGGGCCGCCCTGGAGAAGCTGGTCCGGCGGCCACGGGGTGGGGCTCAGACCCCGAACCTCGCCTCCCCCGCCCGTCAGCTCTGTCATCAGGGCGCCCCCCTAACTCCCGGACCCAGCGCCGCTCACTCGCCCGCATGGAAATGCCACTTAAATTAAAAACAAAAACTATAAATGATTAATTGTTTTGTATATTACCAATCCATTAATAAATTAATGTTTTATACCATTTTCCCTGAAAGCAAAAGTACCTCCCGCCGCGGCTGGGTGGCGATTAGGAAACTCTGGGTAAGAACAGCATTTAGCAAATAGCCATTAAAAAAAAAAGAGGCCCACTTCCTAGGTGCACTGCGACATCCATTTAAAATCAATACAAAAAATAGTTCCTCGTAAATATATAATATATATTTATACATAATTTGGTCTATGTACACACACCCAGCACCTGCGCCCTCCGTGCCTGTCCGCGCTGCCTCCACCCGTCCCTTCCTCCAGCATCGCGAGGCCAGAGCGTCCCCTGAGCCCACTGGCCCCCAGCCGCCCGGTCCGTTGCCCAGGAAACGCCCCTCTTCCCCCCGCGAAGCCGCAGGTTCCGGACGGTCCCACACGCCCGGAGGACTCTCCAGGGAACCCCTCGGGTCCATATGTACATGGGACGGGGCTCGGAGGCAGCCCTGCGTCAGCCGGTCCGCCCTCGGGGGATGACGCGCCCGCTCAGGTGTTCACGCTGCCGGTGACGTGCGGGAACGGCGGGAGGCACGGCTCGAAGGGCATGGGGTCCGGGGAGAAGACGGAGTCATCCCCCGACGAACAGGAGCTGCGTGTGTCGGGGTAGCTGGGCGAGTACTGCTCGAGGGGCTGGCTGAGGTCCAGGTACTCCTGAGAGGAGAGAGGTCTTTGGTTATTGTTGTTGGTTTTTTAAACGTGTTTTTATCGATGTCGGAGAGGGAGGGTTAGGGAGAGAGAGGGACATCCGTGATGAGAATCATGGATCAGCTGCCTCCTGCACGCCCCCCACTGGGGATCCAGCCTGCAGCCCAGGCCTGTGTCCTGACCGGGAATCGAACCCAGGACCTTTTAGTCCGCAGGCCAATGCTCTGTCCACTGAGCCACACCAGCTGGGACAAGAGACATCGTCTCTCCTCTCGGGCCGGGTGCTCGGTGAGTACTGCTCGAGGGCTGCTGAGGCCCCGGGTTCCTCAGAGAAGAGACAGGCGTTTTATTCCAAACACAGGCTCTGGGGCCGCTGGCCTGGGAGCTGGGACGGGATGGGGCAGCCCTGAAGGGTCAGACCCAGCCGCCAGCCACCCCCCTGGCTGCACAGCGACCTCGTGGGCCACAGCCCCGTTCCTCTGGCTCCCTGCACAACCGTTACAAGCACACGACCGGCCGTGGGGGCGGGAGCCTGGCTGGGCTGGAGGCGCCGGCCCAAGGACGCTCCCCCTCCTCTGCCCCCTCTCGGGCTCACATTCCAGCCCAGCCCAGCCGCGGGCGCTCAGGGGCTGAGCATCGACCTCTGAACCAGGAGGTCAGGGTTCAATTCCCGATCGGGCACAGACCCGGGTTGTGGGCTGGATTCCCAGTGCGGGGCGTGCCGGAGGCAGCGGGTTCATGAGGCTCTCTCGTCACTGACGTTTCTCTCTCTCTCCCTCTCCCTTCCTCTTGGACATAAAGAATTCGAGCCAGCGCAGTGACCAGGCACAGATGTGGGTCCCTCTACGTGGTCTAGGCCATGCATTTCCACTTTACCAATTCTGTTTGCTCTGCCGTTTCTAGGATAATTGAGGGGGACCCAAACTCACAGACGCCGTTCACGCGCGGCGGCCCGGGGCCTGACAGTGGTTTCACCGTTGTTTATATGGTTAGGGGAAAAGTAAACAAAAAGCTCATGGCGTCCTGACCCATTTGGCTCAGCGGAGAGAGCTTGAGCTGCGGTGCTGAAGGGTCCTGGGTTTGATTCTGGTCAAGGACACGTGCCCTGGCTGCAGACTTCTCCCCAGCGTGGGCCCTGGCAGCGTGCCTGCAGGAGGCGACCAATGGATGTGTTTCTCTCACCTCCATGTCTCTCTGCCTCTCCTGCTCCCTCCCACTCTAATAATCCATGGAAAATATCCTCGGGTGAAGATGAACCAGAAAAAGGTTTTTAAAAGTGTCTCGTGGCATTTAAAATTATATAAAACGCGAGGCTCCATCCAGTTTCCCTAGAACGTGGACACGCGTGTTGGTTGACGCAGCGTCTGTGGCCGCCTCCCGGGTCCCAGGCAGAGCGACAGAGACCACGTGGCCCCAGGTGGCATCCTTTCTGCCTGGCCCTTCAGAAAAGGCTTGCCCTCTCCCCTCTCTGCCCCGAAACTAGGGAGAGACTCCTAGACAGGGAGCCCCGGGCCTCCCCGCCTCCCACCGGTGCCCGCTTCCACCCCGGGAGCCAGGGCCCTCGTCCCCGCCCCCACCCCCGTCCTGTGCTGAGCCGCGGGGGGAAGTGCAGACACAGCACGAGCAGCCTCGTCGGCTGTCAGAACGGAGCCCACAGAATGCTGGCGGCTGAGCACTGAAAACCCACCCACCGCAGGGCTGGCGAGAGCGAGGCCCTCGGACGGGCTGCGGCCGCCCAGCAGCTCCGGGAACCACGCGCTGGAAGCGAGCTCGCCGCCCGCCACGTCCAGCCCGCGCTCTGCTGACGACGATGAAATGAAACTCGGGCCTAAATGGAGCCGTTTTCCCGGCGCATCTGGCAATGATTTTCAGCCGGGAAGAGACAGGGGGTTCTGTAGCCGCAGGACGACGTGGCATTCCGGGCTGCACTCGGGGCCTGGGGTGGCCTCGCTCGCACAGCCCCCGTGAAACGTAAGCAGAACCACAGCCGGAGCGGGCCGCCCCTCGCTGAGCCGAGCCTCCCAGAGGAGCCGCAGCGTCCGGGCCTGGCGGGGAGGCGGCCCCCGGCCGCACGTCCAGTTAAGGCGCGGACACTGGAGACGGCGTTCGGGGAGAAGGCGGTCCCACCCGGACGGCTCCCGCTCTCAGCCAGCCTGACTCGCCGATAGGCTGCCTGCTTGTTTTTTAATCACTGTGAAGCGTATCATTCATCAATTTAAGTGCATTCTTTTCTCAGTTCGGACACTGAGGGACTGTGGGCACCAGTTCTACACCTTTTCTAGAAAATAAATATCGTAGCAAAAGGTGCCAGTTTCCTTAAACATCCTACTAGTCGCTCGTTGTAAGACACTGTGTGGACATGGACACGCACACGGATGGAGGCCACGAGCCACACGCCTTGACGGGCAGGGTCTGGGAGAGACTGGCGGGCTCTGGTCTGGAAGCGGGAGGGGCGGGGCCTCCACACATCACGCCAGCAGGACCTGAGCATCAGCAGCTCACACCCCGGTTACCAGAATCCACCAGCTCCTTCCCACCAAACCCAGCAAACACCACAGCTGGACGTTTCTCCCTGCCTCCCTGCACACCTACACACACACACGCACACGTGCGCAATACATACATGTGTGCAAGCACACACACATACATGTGTGCGCACATGCACACAGGCCCCGCACCAGAGCGCCACGGTGGGGCGGCTTGCACAGGGCCCGCAGGCTCTGGTTGCGTGAGTCAGATGCTCACCAGGCAGCTCTGAGAAAAACAGGACCTGGGGGCGCACGGGTCCACCTGCTGACCCCTGGCCTGGCCCCGTGGCCTCATGGTGGACAGCACTGTGGACTCCAACAGGGCAGGCGTGTGCACCACGCGGAGCACCAGGCCAGGAGCCGGCCGCGAGGCGCCCTCACCTCGTTGGTGGTGAGCGTGAGCACCCGGTCCAGGTCCTCCACCAGCTGCTTGAAGGTCGGCCGCTGCGAGGGCACCGCGTGCCAGCAGTCCCTCATCATCATGTACCTGCGGGGACGGCCGCGGGTGAGCCGTGGGCACCAGCCGGGCGCACGGCTTCGCCAGTTTCACAGACGGTGGAATCTGTCTCCCTCTGAGGGGAGCCCGGATGGAGGGGGAGCCCAGACGGAGGGGGAGTCGGGACAGAAGGGGAGCCGGGACGGAGGGGGGAGGAGGAAGCCGGGACGGAGGGGGAGCCGGGACAGAAGGGGAGCCGGGACAGAGGGGGGAGGAGGGAGCCGGGACGGAGGGGGAGCCGGGACGGAGGGGGGAGCCGGGACAGAGGGGGGAGCCGGGACGGAGTGGGGAGCCGGGACAGAGGGGGAGCCGGGACAGAGGGGGGAGCCGGGACGGAGTGGGGAGCCGGGACAGAGGGGAAGCCGGGACAGAGGGGGGAGGAGGGAGCCGGGACAGAAGGGGAGCCGGGACGGAGGGGGAGCCGGGACGGAGGGGGAGCCGGGACAGAGGGGGGAGGAGGGAGCCGGGACAGAAGGGGAGCCGGGACGGAGGGGGAGCCGGGACGGAGGGGGGAGCCGGGACGGAGGGGGGAGCCGGGACAGAGGGGGGAGGAGGGAGCCGGGACAGAGGGGGGAGCCGGGACGGAGGGGAGAGCCAGCTCGGACGGGGGAGCCGGAACAGAGGGGGAGCCGGGACAGAGGGGGGAGCCGGAACAGAGGGGGAGCCGGGACGGAGGGGGGAGCCGGGACGGAGGGGGGAGCCAGCTCAGACGGGGGAGCCGGAACAGAGGGGGAGCCGGGACGGAGGGGGGAGCCGGGACGGAGGGGGGAGCCAGCTCGGACGGGGGAGCCGGAACAGAGGGGGAGCCGGGACGGAGGGGGGAGCCGGGACGGAGGGGGGAGCCAGCTCAGACGGGGGAGCCAGAACAGAGGGGGAGCCGGGACGGAGGGGGGAGCCAGCTCGGACGGGGGAGCCGGAACAGAGGGAGAGCCGGGACGGAGCGGGGAGCCTGGCACAGATGCCCTCTTACAGCTCATTGGTGCAGTTGGCCGGCTTGTCCATCCTGTGCCCCTCCTTCAGCAGTTTGAACAGCTCCTCGACAGGAATCCCTGGGTAGGGCGAGCCCCCGAGGGTGAAGATCTCCCACATCAGCACCCCGAAGGACCAGCTGCAGACACGGAGAGAGCAGAGGTTACTGTCCGCCGGGCCCAGGCTGTCGGCATCAATGCCAGGCGACGGGTTCCATCCAGGCCAATGCCTGTGCCTCCTGCAGCCCCCATGCGCCCTCCGGCCCCGAGCGGCTCCAGACGAGGATGGACCCGCAGACGACAGAAGGGGGACGGCCGAGCGTCCCTTCTCTCTGGGGGGATGGGGACTGCGGGGACTTCCCTGGTCGCTCTGGGCCTTATTCACCTTCAGTGCAGTGTTTGCACACAAAGACCTCGCTCCTGAGCCCGCCCGCCCCTCTGCCGCCACCTGACCGACTGGGGCTGCGGCTGCCAGGCGGGCCCGGCACCAGCAGCGAGCTGCCTCCCAGGCTCAGGGCCGGGCGGCCGTGGAGCACCACAGGCCACAGGCTCCCGGCTCCGCACAAAGGGGCTGCCTTTGTGTGGGGCGGATCTCACAGCAGGATCCCGACGTCTCCCAAGTCACACCTTGGCGAGGGAGCCGGACCAGCCCGCAGCCTGGCCAGTGCGACAGCGGCTCTGAGCTGCCCGTCGTGAATGAAGTCAGGCGGTTGCGGGGGGAGCGGTTTCTGCTCTGACAGGAGGAGGGGGTGGCACTCGGAAGCAGGCCGATCAGCAGCAGCCATTGCTCACTGGCCTGCTGTGTGCGGCCAGCTCCGGCAGCTGCCATGCACACGTGACACGCAGCAGGCACCAGGGGAGGTGTGACGCGTACGCTGGGTTTGCAACTGAACGTGGGGAGCAGCGGGGGAGGGCACCACTCACACGTCACTCTGATGGGTGTACACGCGGTCGAAAAGGGCCTCCGGAGCCATCCACTTGACGGGAAGCCGGCCCTGTGCGTGGGGGAGGGAGGAAGACGCACACGTTGGAACCTGTTTGTGGGAGCACCAGCCATCTCCACGGGCCCCGCGATAGAGCAGAAACAAGCTCCTACAGGACTACACGCAACGGGGACTACACGCAAGAAGAGCTACACGCAATGGGGACCACACGCAACAAGGACCACATGCAACAAGGACCACACGCAAAAAGAGGATGCAGATTCGGAAATGTCATTTGCTGGACCCTCGGGGCTGCCGTCTCCCTGACCAGCTCCCGGAGGGAAGCTGACCAGAGGCTCCGTGCCCTGCCGGCCCCAGGAAAGGGGTGGACCGAGCGCAGGAGGCCCCCGAAGTGCTGACTGCTCCGCACACGGAGCCCTGGCGCACGGACCCTCTGACATGTCACTGTGGCCACGTGTGAGGAGCCAGGCGCAGGCCAGGCATCATCCAGGCCTCGCTGAGCCACCCACCGTTCCTTCTGGAACATTCCGTGCCACGCCCCTTCCCCCAGTCGCTGCCGGACTCACGTTGGTGGTCTTCTTGTAGTAGTCGATGTTGTTGATGTCTCTGGCCAGCCCGAAGTCGGCGATCTTCATCACGTTGTTCTCCGTGACCAGGACGTTTCTGGCGGCCAAGTCCCGGTGGATGCACTGAAACGAGAAACACTTCTGTCAGGCTCCGGCCGAGCAGCGTCCGAAGCCGACACTGCCTCCTGCCCGCCCGCCCTCCCTCCCTCCCGCCCGGTGAAGAGGGAACGGAAAGCCCTTCCCGCGCCCAGGCCCACGGCGGGCGCGCTCTCTCCCGGCAGCCGACCACGTGGCCCTCACTCAGGCTGCGCCGGGTCCCCATCTCCCCGCCCGCACCCTCTCTGCCGCGGCCGCCAGGTCCAGAGCACCGGCAAGGCCAGCGCCAGCGTCTGGGCCTCCACCTCCCGGCCACGCCTCCAGCACCGATCGGTCCCGCCCGCCCCGCCCAATGGTCCTGACCAGCAGCCCCTTAAGAAGAAGCAAGGCGAACTCTGGGATGACTGAATCAGACATTTCTTTCTGCCTCCCCCTCCCTCCTCCCTCCCTCCCCATCTGCTTGCTTCCGTGGCCTGGGATGGGCTCAGCTCAGACCAGGGAGAGCAAGGAGCCCCACACGCCAGGGCCGGCCACAGCGTGTCCTGGGGTTAGGAGGCCTGTCCACGGCGAACGACAAGGCCGGGGCCAGCTCCCTGGGCGGCAAGCTCCCGCCACGCCAGCTCGGAGCGTTGGGCAGGCCTGTGGTCAGTGGGACCTGCTCCCCACGCACTGGACTCTGGCCACACATCAGGGCTTGGAACAGAGACACCAGGACACAACCTCCGGCCTCTGACCTCCACCCTCTGCTCCGAGAGTCAATCCAGAGCCCCCACAACCCCCCACAGTCACTGACCGGGGCTGTCAGAGGCCCTCTGCTTTGGGGGCCGGGGAGCCCCAAGGTGACACCAGGCTCCAGGCAGGTCAGACTCACCTGTGCTCTGGGAGGTCACCGTGCAGGCCCCCCCCCCCCCCCGCCCCCGCTCAGGTGCAGGCTCAATGGCCCAGGACCCCAGGCACCTGGCTGGCTGCTCCCGGAATAACTCGGATGCTTGGAGTTCCACTGCAGGCGGCATTCCTGGAATGCAGGCTCCGGGGGGGCCTGCCTGCTCCCCCCCCGTGGAGGCCCTCTTGCTAGTAAGTCCAAGGAATCACCCCGAGGAAACCCGGGGCTGTGACTGAGCACCCGCCCCACGACCTCCACGTTCAGGCCCTAAACCGTCAACAGGGCACGGAGAGCCACGTCCAAACCTCCCTGCCTCGAAACGAACAAGGCCCCGACCATCGGCTCCGCAGGCGGCGTGTCCGTTCCCGGGCCGGGCTCAGGGGCAGGCGGCTCTGGGCTACCTCTCCTGTCACTAAGGTCAGGGTAGGGGCTGCGCTGGCCGTTGGCCCCAATGTGACGGACGCCCCGGGACTCCCGGCAGCACCGGACAGCCAGGGCCTGCGCCTGCTGCTGCTCCGTGGACCCCCCCACACACACGCACACACACACTGGCACTCACCTTCTGGGAGGCCAGGTACTCCATGCCGCGGGCCAGCTGGTAGGTGCAGGACACCAGGTCCTTGAAGGTCATCTGCTCCTCGGGCACGTGGTTGATGTCGTAGGAGTACTCCATTCCGGGCGGCCGCCGTGCGCGCAGGTACTCCCGCAGGTTGCCCTTGGCGGCGTACTCCACGATGACGTACAGCGGCCCTGCGGGCGGAGGGAGGAGCACCTCAGACCCGCCTCCCGCCCCGGCCCGGTGGCCCAGCAACTGCGCGTCCGCCCTCCCCGGTGCGATGCTGGTCAAGGGCTCGATCCCTGCAGCCGAGGTCGCAGGTCGGGGCGCACGCAGGAGGCAAACCATCACTGTGTCTCTCTCGTCCACGTTTCTCTGTCTCTCCTCCCCGCTTCCACTCTCTCTAGAAATCTCTGGGGAAATATCTTTGGGCAAGGGAAAGAAAACATTTTAAAAAACAAAACCCCCCGCCTCCTCAATCGCCACCTTAACAGGACGTGTCAGCCGAAACAGAGGGCCTGGTTCTGAGACCTTTATCTCGGCACTCACATCCCAAAAGCCCAAGGAGGCAGCCGAGCCCAGGCTCCCTGGGGGGGGGGAAGTCCACACGCCAGGCCCTGCAGGCCCCTCATCCGCGGTGCCCAGCACCCACCTCCCCCCAGGCCCGGCCCCAGGGACCACAGGAGGTGCCCTGTGTGTCCAGGGCGGGGACACCACCCTCAGGGGACTGTAAACAGCCTCATACACACACGTGAGATGCCCCGGAAGCAAATCCACAGTCTCCCCACTCCCCACCCCCGATCGAGGCCGCCACAGCCCACCCACCGTCCTGCGTGCAGGCGCCCAGCAGGTTGATGATGTTCTTGTGTTTGCCGATCATCTTCATCATCTCCATCTCCGACACCAGGTCAGAAAGGTCCTTCTCCGTGGCGTCATCTGCAAACGTCAGGGCGTTACCACCAGCTCCACGTGCCCCGGAGGGCGGAGCCCAGGTCTGCCCAGGCCCCAGGTATGTAAGAACATTGTCGCTTAACACACGTTTCCGTGGCTCTGTCCCAGCCGGCGTGGCTCAGTGGTTGAGCATCCTATGGACCAGGAGGTCGATCAGGGCACATGCCTGGGGTGCAGGCTAGATCCCTGGTATGGGGCAGGGATCTCTCATCATTGATGCCCCTCTCTCTCTGTCTTTCTCTCTCCTTTTCCTGTCTTCTCTGAAATAAATAGATTTTTGTAAAGAAGCTATGAAAAAAAGCCCCTAGATTCATTGCATTTGGGGCCCCGCCTGTGACTGCCTTGGCAGGGCCAGACCCAATGGGGCCGAGGTTCCTCACTCTGCACTCCTCGGCTGCTGCGGGGAGCTGCCCGCACTGGGTTCAAGGTTCAAACAGCATGAAATTGAGTGTTAGCACCAGAGGAGGCTTTCCCAACCATCTCTGCCCTCTGTTGGTTGGGGGCAAAGGCCCAGCGTGAACTGCCTGCCCGTGTCCAAGGGCTAATTTGGGGTCAAAGGGTGAGAAGTCAGAACTGGCATTCAGGCTTCTCAGGCCCAGGCTGATGCTCTGCCAGGCCAGCTCACAGCTCTGCAGCTGCCCGCTGACAAACTGGCTTTCCGCTTTCATTATTATGTTTAAATCCTCACCAGATTTTTACTTTAATACTTTTTTCTGTTGATTTCTAGAAAATGGGATGGGGGGTGCTCGAAGAGAGAGAAACGTCTATGTGAGAGACACATCAATGGGCTGCTTGCAGCAGAGGTACCTGCCCTTGACTGGGAATTGAACCCGGGACCCTTGGGTCTACAGGTTGACGCTCTGACCACTTCGCAACCAGCCAGGGTGAACTGAGCCAAACTGGCTTTTTTTTTTTTTTTTTTTAAGTGCACACAGCTCAAGGTAAGTCATCTGTCCGAGATGCTGATTTACACTGAAAACCCTCAACCCCGAGATCAGCAATGTGCCCTCTGACCCCTGCCAGGTCAGAGTTCACGAGCCACAAAAGGAACTTTCTCATAAGGTGTCCCTCGCCCCCCTTCTTCCCTCCACCCCCGCTTCTTCAGCCCATTCCCCCCTCCTGCCCCTCCCCCTCCTGCCCCGCCCCCTCCTGCCCCTCCCTCTTTTCCCCACCCCCTCCTGCCCCTCCTCTTCCCCATCCCCCTCCTGCCCCGCCCCCTCCTGCCCTGCCCCCACGCCCGCACTCACCCTTCAGCATCTTCACGGCCACGGTGACGGCCTCTGTGGGCTTGTCCTTGTCCACGCCCACGGCCTCGGCCATGACCACTTGCCCGAAGCAGCCTTCCCCCAGGGGCTTGCCCAGCGTCAGCCTGTGTGGGGACGGGAATCAGTGCCGGCACCGGGCGGTGGGCACGGCGCAGGGAAAGCCAGGACCCGACAGAACGAGCTCCCAGCGGCCCGAGTGCTGGTCACACGGAACTAACGTGTCTGCTGAGTGACGCCGAGAGGACGGCGTGGCGGCCGCTATGACGGCTCACATTTGGGCTCTGGGTCTGCTTTCCGGGCGGGAGGGACCCGGCCGAGGGGTGGCCGGCGGCCCTAAGAGCCAGCGAAGGGCTTGTGACCGAGCGTCCGTCTCTCAGGACATCCCCAGAATGCTCCTTCTTGCCCCTGTGAAGTGGTGTCTAAAGCTGCCGTTACTCCAATACCAATGGAGTTCACAGCGCATGCTGGGGCCAGGATACAGGTCCTGAATCTTAAATGCATTTCAAGGAATCTCTCTAATTTTTCACTAAAATGAAAAATGTCTAAAAATTGGGGGGAGGGAGGACTTTTTTTTTTTTTTTACATAATAGCCTGGAAATTCGTGTGACTACTCAAAAGTAATCGTGAAGAAAACCCAGAGACTATGTCTAAGTCTGGAAGTGCTACACCATCCTGTGAACGCCCACATCTGTCCCTGGGCACGGAGCAGCTGCAGGACGAAGCCGCCTCGGAACCAGCGTGTGAACGCGTTGCTCACGCAGGCCAAGTGCGGACTGAGCATGGAGAGCAGTGCTCACAGCGGCACAGCCTGGCCCAGGGCCGCGCATGCTGGGCTGAGGTCACTCTGCTTCTACGCTGAACTGGAATTAAATTTAACGTCTTGGCAGAAAATAAACATTTGCATTGGAAAAAGGGCTAATTTATGTCCCCGTGCCCGGCCACCCCGGGTGTGACAATCCTTCCTTTGTGCAGCCCCGGCCCCCGGCCCAGCAGCGCTCTCAATGCCTTCATTCACGGAACACGCTCCGCCCACGCTCGGCTAAGTCCTGTTTTGAAAGGTTTAGCGCTCAGACTTTCCACACGGGCCCCGGGCGGGAGCTCGCCCCACAGGGACCGGCTCGCACTATCGGCCACGGCGTCACAGGCGGCAAAGCCACGGCTGAGCCCGAGCTGCGGTTCCTTACAGCCTGGTCGCCGCTCCTCAGCTGCCCTTTAAGGTACAGAAAGGTGTGCACAGACCCCCTAACCTACGGGCATCCCCAAACCAGGGAGCAGGGCTCAAGAGGAACCCCCTCCACAACGTTCTCAGGAGACACCATCCTCGTGGTGCCTCACCTGCAACTCGAATGAACAAATGGATGGATGGGTGGGTGGGTGGATGGATGGGTGGATGGATGGCTGGCTGGATAGGTGGATGGGTGGGTGGGTGGGTGGGTGGGTGGATGGATGGGTAAGTGGGTGGATGGCTGGATGGGTGAGTGGGTGGATGGGTGGGTGGGTGGGTGGGTGGATGGATGTATGGTCCTATCACTGCAGGATGCCCATAAACTGGACATCACTTCCATTAACACTAATGGGTCCAGCCGGCATGGCTCGGTGCTTGAGCATTGACATAGGAACCAGAAGGGCATGGTTTGATTCCAGGTCAGGGCACATTCCTGGACTGTGAGCTCGATCCCCATTGTGGGGCATGCAGGAGGCAGCCGATCAGTGATCTCTCTCATCACTGATGTTTCTACCTCTCTCTCTCCTCCCCTTCTGAAGTCAACAATCAATGCCCTGCATGCTCCCCAACCAGGACCCAGGCTGGAATCAAACCCGGGACCCTTCAGTCTGCCAGCTGATGCTCTGTCCATTGAGCCACACTGGCCACGGCTGGGTAACGATTTTTAAGACGACATATTCTACACCCAATTTCTCCAAAGAATGGACCATGGAGTAGCATGGTCTGGTAACCAGGGCAGGACAGAGATCTTTTTCCTAAATGGGAAACTCCCGCCTCTTGCATTTGACTGTGACTGAATTGTCCAGCGAGTTAATAATAATAATAATAATAAGCTCACAAGGAGCATCTTGTCTGGGGACCAGCCGTGGCTTAGTGGTTCCTTAGAAATACAAGCTCACAAGACCCTGCATGGGAGGGTCACATGGAGCACAGGTCCCCCACATCCCACGGACGTGCTCCCAGAGACTCACTTGACTCTGGGGAACTCCCATTTGGGGTCTTCGGGCAGCTCGTACTCCGAGACGCCCGCCAGCATCGGGGTGTCCGCCGCGGACGACAGGCGTGTGGTGATCCGCACCAGGGGCGTGTTGGAGTTCATGGAGGAGCTGGACTCGGCTGACACCTGGATACACAACCCGAAGACACAGGTGTAACCCTGGCCCCCGCAGCCAGAGCCCGGCCAGACGGTCAGCTCTCGGAAGGAAGGCAGGGGGGGGCTGGACACAGTCATTCATCCGAGACCCAAACCACCAACTCAGTGCCCCTGGCCTCCGGCCTACCCGGGACTAAACCTCATCCAAACCACGTGTCCCGAAGGGCAGGGTTCCAAACACTGATACGCATGCCGCTCGAAACATGTCTTGCTTCTGCCCTAACCCCAGGACAGCCACGAGGACAAGAGGCAGCCCCACAGACACTGCTGCTCGGGGTCCTCCTGCCCCGGGACCCAGGACCCCGCTCCCCGCAGACCAGCCAGATCAGGGGTCAACGTGGTGCTTCGGACACGCCACAAAAGCTTTTGGACAATCAGCTCTTTGATGTTTTTTGTGTCTTTGACGTATCATGCCGTGCCCTGGCCAGTGTAGCTCAGTGGCTAGAGCACTGGCCTGCAGACAGAAGGGTCCTGGGCTTGATTCTGGTCAGGGATGTGCCTCAGTTGCAGGCTCTGCCCTGGCCCGGGCCCTGGTCAGGGTGCCTGCGGGAGGCAATTTATCAATGTGTTTCTCTCACATCCATGTTCTCTCCGTCCTTCCCGCTCTTCCGCTCTCTCTAAAACTCAATGGGAAAATATCCTCGGATGAGGATTGAAAAAAAAAAGAAGAAAGAAATGTCAAGTGAACATTCCAGGAACTAGCTCGCGGGAGGATCTGAACCCGGAAGGATTCCCAGCAGCTCCAGGCGCCTCTACTCAAGGTCACCTTGGGCCGGGAGCACCCAGGCCGTCCGGTGAACTCCAGGGCCTCCGTCAGCTTCTGCCTCAGAAACGAGAGCCTTGAAGGCGTGGGACGAAGAGTCCGGAGGAAGAGAAACACACCTTTACCCAGTCACCTGGGACCCGCCCGCCCTTCCCGGAGGCGGCTCGCTGACCCTCCCCCACGTCAGCCGGGGCTGGCAGCTCCCGTGCTGGTCTCCAGGAAAGGCCACCTCTGGGGATCACACACACCTGGCCCCATCAGGGGCTGCCTGGTTTGACCCTGCCGACCGCCAGACACGGCCAAGACTTTGGCCAAGACAGTGGGCATGTGGGGATCAACATGACCCGGCAGAGCGACTCCCCTGCCCACCTGGGCAGGGGCAGGTGAGGGAACTGATGACCAAGTGGCACAGACGGGCCTGGCCCCGCCCACAGGGCCTGGCCCCTCCCACAAGAGGCTGGCCTTCCCTGGAGCTTTAGGGAAGTTGCAGGAGGTCCTGGCCCGCACGGCTCCTTGGACAAAGAGCCAGACTGAGGGCTGCAGAGTCCCGGGTTCAATTCCCATCAAGGGCACACTTGGCTGCAGGTTCCATCCTGGTCGGAGTGCATGCAGGGGCAACCAATCCCTGTGTCTCTCTCACATTGATGTTTCTCTCCCCCCTCCCTTCCTTCCACGCTCTAAAAACCAGTGGGAAAACATCCTCCGAAGACGCTCAAAGACTTTTTAAAAAGCTTAGCCGTGTTGGAGAAGAATTAGGAGTGGAGGGAGGGGCAGAACGTCTCCTGCAGAACTTTCTAGACCGCTGACCTGCCACAGCCAGGCCTGCATCTCCCGAGAAAGCCCCGCACCCTGGGACGGATCTGGCCCCATCGATCATTCCTTTCTTCCTTCTCGGTCCCAAAGCACCTCTTCCCGTCAGACCCCCTTCGCCAAGGCCCGGCTTCCTGTTTACCTAACTTAAAAATGCGCCACGGACGGCGGCAATTAAGTCATTTATAAACAATGAGGCTAACACGCTAACACACGCCTTCCCTCCGTGGACCCCGCAGACGCACGCGGTCGTGGAGAGCTGCGCTTCCCGGGCCCCCTTCCAGAGTCCCTTCCTGGTGGTGTAAGCCAAGCTTTTCACGAAATGCGCTCTGAGGGTTTTTCCACAGTTCAAGTGGCAGGCGAAGCAAAGAAGCGGGTGTTTTTTTCCTCCTCTTTCCTCTCTAAAGGGCCATCAAGAAACTTATCTCCTCCTTCAGGCGTCCTCAAACTTTTTAAAGTGGGGGCCAGATCACGGTCCCTCAGAGAGCTGGAGGGCCGGACTATATGAACTACTAATTCCTACTGTAACACCTCGGCTGCGCTCACTGCCCAAAAAACCTGGCGGGCCAGATCAGACTCCTCTGCGGGCCGCATGTGGCCCGCGGGCCGTAGTTTGAAGACGCCTGCTAGGGGATGAGGAGCAGGGCACAGGGCAGAGGTGTGGGGGATGAGGGGAGGGGGGAGGGGGGGCTGTTTATCCCTGAGGACACAGCACCCCAGCCACACCCACTGGCCTCCCAGGCCCTGACTCCGGCTGAGAAGCTCCATTCGGAAGCCAGAGCACAGCCTGTGCGAGGTGGATCCTTCGGGCCGGCGGGCGAGAATGGCGTTGTTTAGATCCCCAGGCCCTCGCAGGAGAGAGGACCCGCCCCTGCATGCGCCCCTGGGGCGGACCCAGGATGGAATCGCCCTGAGGTCATGGTTCCAGCTGCGTGGCAGGCGGTGAGCCAGGAGCCCCGGCCCGCCTGGCTCTGTGGACAGCGTGTCGGCCTGCGGCCTGAAGGGCCCATCGGGTGTCTCAGAGCCTCCTGGGAAACAACGGCTCGCCAGCATTTCCTCCTGGCATCGGAGGAAAGGCTTTTGTGGAGGGAGGGGGGGGAGGCTGACATGCCTGACCTATGTCAGTGCGTCCAGAACAGGCTGGTGAATGTCAAGCATGAAACTCAACAGGATCAAGGAAAAGACGGCTTGTTCTAACAACAGTCATTGATGAGCTGAGGGGCGCTGTCAGCGTGTGTGTGGGGGGGACGGAGGGAGGGGCCAAGCAGGTAAATTCAGGCTCCACCTGTGGGGAGGAGGGAGAGGAGGAGGAGGAAGGGAGGAGAGGGAGGAAAGGGAGGAGGGGGAGGAGGAGAGAGGGAGGGAGGAGGGGGAGGAAGGAGGAGGAGGGAGGGGGGAGGAGGGAGGAGGAGGGAGGAGAGGGAGGAGGGGGAGAGGGAGGGGGAGAAAGAAGAGACGGACGGGGGAGGAGGGAGAAGGGGAAGAGAGGGAGGAGGAGGGGGGGAGGAGGATAAAAGAAAAGGGAGGGAGGAGGAGGAGGGAGAGGGGGAGGGGGAGAAAGAAAGAGAGAGAGAGGGAGGAGGGGGGAGGAGGGAGGAGGAGGGAGGGGGGAGGAGGGAGGAGGAGGGAGGAGAGGGAGGAGGGGGAGGAGGAGGGGGGGAGGGGGAGAAAGAAGAGACGGACGGGGGAGGAGGGAGAAGGGGGAAGAGAGGGAGGAGGAGGGGGGGGAGGAGGATAAAAGAAAGGGAGGGGAGGAGGAGGAGGGAGAAGGGGGAGGAGGAGGGAGGGGGGAGGAGGAGAAGGGGGAAGAGGGGGAGGAGGAGGGGGAGGGGAGGGGGAGAAAGAAGAGAGGGAGGAGGGGGAGGAGGGAGGAGGAGGGAGGAGGAGGGAGGGGGGAGGAGGGAGGAGGAGGGAGGGGGAGGGGGAGAAAGAAGAGAGGAAGGAGGGGGAGGAGAGAGGAGGGAGGGGGGAGGAGGGGGAGGAGGGGGGAGGAGGGGGAGGAGGGAGGAGGAGCGGGCAACACCCCCCCAAACAAATGAGTCCCCCGACACTTCTCTCTCCGGGGACTGGCCTGCGCCCACCTTCTCTGCTTTCTCACCCCAACTCCCCGCATTTCAAACGAACCCTCCTCTTCCGGTTGCTTCGGAGCCACTGGGGAAGGTGACAGGCCTTGTTCTACCGTCCTACCCGGAGGGAAATCCAGGAGGCAAAGGGGAAGGAGGAAGGGAGGGAGCGGGAGGGGCCCTGGAGCCATGGGGCGGAGGTGTAGGTGAGACAGAACGAAGGCAGGCCTGCAGCCAGCAGGAGGAGTGCAGACGTGACAACCAGTGTCCAGTCGGGAGGTTTAAGAGAATCCGCCCCTTCACAGGAAGCAGAGAGAAGAGCATTGCAACAGTTGCAGGGGAAAAGGTGATGAAATAATCACAGACGCAGGTGGAGCCCATTAGAAAAGGTCACAGTCCGACTGCCGGTCGGGGCACAGGCCTGGGTTGTGGGCTCAATGCCCAGTGGGGGGCGTGCAGGAGGCAGCCGGTCGTGATTCTCTCTCATCGTTGATGCTTCTATCTCTCCCTCTCCCTTCCTCTCTGACATCAATAAACATATTAATTTTTTAAGAGTAAAGAAAAGCAGCAGCAAGGTGGGAGCACCTCAGTCAGCCGCCTGAGCCCAGCCTCTTGTGCAGACGGTGCAGGAACAGCGCAGGGGCCTGGGAGGGGGGCGAGAGGGGCCCCTGAGGGCACTGGCCCCGAGTGCCGGGGGGCTGCAGTCTCCCAGCGGCAGTGCTCCCGTGGCCGTGGCCGGGGAAGGGCTGTGGCGTCACAGAGCAATGCCTCTCGGCTTCCACGGAGAAGGGCCTGCTGGCTACGTGGCTTCAGAGCCGTGGGCAAGGCCCCCTTCGGCCCGGAGCCCGGAGCGCAGCGCTGGGAGGGGAACAGCCAGGCCCCTGCCAGACTCCTGCGGCCATCTGGTCCCTAATCCTCGGCCAGAACATGTCACGGCACCTTCGGTCCCGGGAGGCGCCGGGCTGGACTGACCACTTCGGAGCCGGAGGCCTCGCCGGACGCAGACGCCTGGCTCCACTCGAGGCCCCGGGAGGGACCTCTGCCAAAGCTCACGGACCCCGAGCCAGGGCGCTGGCTGTCCCTCGTTTCAAACAGAACTGCCTTTACGGGAACCAAGTCCCAAAGACTCGGGAAACTGCAGCCACGTGTCCCCTCCGCCGCTCGGACCCGGGGTCGGAGCGGAGGGCTCCCTGTGCCCGCTCTGCAGGGCGGCCGCACCTCCCGCCCTCCCCAGAGCAGCACCAAGCCCCCCGGGGCTCGCACCAGCACACGGGCCCTGCGCCCCCGCACAAGGCGACTGACAACCTGGTGCCTGTTCAGCCTGAAACCGCTGGAGCCAAATCCACGGCCACAGCCCTGACCGAATCCAGTAACACACACACCCCCACACACACACACACACACACACACACACGGTTCTATTTTAAGCATCAGAGCAGCGGAGCCAAAACTCCGTCTGGAAAGACATCACGGGCCGGTTTACAGCAAGCAGTAGCTCAACAGCACCTCAGGGACCCGGTTTCTGACCTCACTTTAGAAGAGTAAGTCCAGCCGCGGCCAGTTTGGCTCAGTGGATAGAGCGTCGGCCTGCGGACCCAAGGGTCCCGTCCAGGGCACCCACTTCACTTGCAGGTTCCCCCTGGCCTGGGCCCTGGTCGGGCTGCGTGCAGGAGGCAGCCATTGACGTGTCTCTCTCACATCGATGTTTCTCTCTGTCTCTCCCTCTCTCTCTCCCACTGTCTCTATAAATCAATAGAAGAATATCCTCGGGTGAAGGATTAGAAAATAAAAAGTTGCAGGGAGCGAGTGTCCCTCCCTTTCCAACCAGTGGCCTAAGCCTGCCCCCCACCCCGGCCTCCCGCCACGGCCTAGCCCACAAAAAACAAGAGCATCCGACCACGGGGGACGAAGGGGGGACAGAGGGGCCTGTGCCTCAGAGACAGCCGCCGCATGTCATCCAACTCGCAGCACTGCCCTCCCCCTGCCTCCCCCTCCCCCGTGCCCCTCGTCCTGCTGATTGGCTCTGCCAGCCTCGCCCTCTCCTGCCCTGGGAGCTCGACGCCATGGACCCCTTGGGACGCTCAGGGCCTGCCTCGCGCGCTCTGGGGGGCGGACTGGACGGCGAGGGGAGCCCCAGGAGCTGGGGTGTCGGGCGGGGGCAGGGGGACCGAGGAGCCGGCGGGGCCGGAGTAGGGTCTGCAAACTCTCCATCTACTTTCTGTTACCTGTCTGCGCAGGGGGATGCGCTTGGAGAGCTTGTGCACGGCGGGCGGGCTGCTGAAGTCGGGCTTCTTGGCCGAGGCCTTCATGCGGCACAGGACGACCGTGACCACCATGCAGGCGATGAGGAACACGCCGATGCAGTAGATGGCGATCTCCAGGTAGTCGGGGGCCGCCGGCAGCTCCTTCTCCCGCACGGGAGCTGCGCGGGCGCGGCAGGGAGACAAGCGGGCTGCCGTTAGGGGCTGGGCGGGTGCGTCCGGGCACAGCCGGAGGCGGCGGGCATGCACAGGGGCGGGCCTCCCGATGGGGCACTCTGCATGGCCCAGCGCCTGGGCCCAGCACCTGCCACGCCCCTCGCTCTGCCACCAGGGCCCGGGCGCCACTCCCTACGGCCTCAGTGGTTGCTGAACCCAGCGGCCGAGGGCCCGGCTGCCACCGCAGCACGGAGGGCAGACTAGACTCTGAGGCCTGGCCCTGCACCCACAGGAGGGCTGTGCTCCGTCCTGCCCCCCCCTCCCCTCCCCTGTGCAGACCGAGGCCTCAGAGACGGACAGGCCCGCTGTGTCTGAGGGGACCGGGCCCGTGTGAGCTGGGCGAGCTCCCGGAGGAAGAGGGGACGGGCTCAGATGCGCCCAGGCCCACTGAGGTGGAGGAGGGAGGCACCGAGCAGGCTGCCGGCCCAAAAGGGGTCCAGTTCCTGAGCGCAGCCCCCCGAGGTTCTACAGAGGAGCAGACGCGCTTGGCACGCAGGCGGACCTGCTGCTGACGGAGAAGCTGTCTGTGCGGCCACAGTGGTGTCCGGGACAGTCCTTAATCAATCGCCAACGTAATGTTTTGCCCGAGGCAGCTGGCTCATTGGCAGAGCGCTGGCCTGTGGACCAAAGGGTCCCGGGTTCGACTCTGGTCAAGGGCATGAACCTCGGTTGCAGGCTCCTCCCCAGCCTGGGCCCTAGTTGGGGTCCACGCAAGAGGCAACCCATCAATGTGACATCGATGTTTCTCCCTGTCTTTCTCTCTCTCTTCCACTCTCTCTAAAATCCCAATGGGGAAACATCCTCGGGTGAGGATTAGCACGTAAAAACAGCAGTAACAGTAGCGATAACCATTACCGTTTTTTGTGTAGCTGGTTACAGTGACACATCACTCCAGCTTTTAAAGAAAAACAGAAGCGGCACTGCGTGTGCGTCCACGTATAATGACGCCGGGGAGCACGTTCTCACAGCAGGCCCAATGGCGGGTGCTCCCTCCTCGGGCCTCGATGGCTGACCCACGGGCAGTGGTTTGCACAGCCGTCCTGGGCCGCGTTCTCGGTTAGTGCGCGGGCCGTGGGCAGGCTGGGTAAGGCAGGCCCGCCGGGCGCCCGAGGCGCGCAGGGCGGCGAGGAAGAGCAAGCTCGCTGCTCCCAGCGAATGAATGCTGAGCGGCTCCCCAATCCGGGGACACGGGTGCAGTGGCATTACTTGGAGCTCACACGTTTTCACAGAAAAATGCTCGCAAGACGGTCGGGACGCTCAGCCGCTCAGCGCAGCGTGGAGCGGCCCCGTCCTTCTGCTGGAGAGAAGGTGCGCATGCAGTGGCACCCTACGACAAGGAGGCGTTGGTAATGTCGTGGGGCGTAAGCAGCAGAGCAGTCACCACGGAAACGAGAGGAGCAGGACCCGACAGACACCTGGGTGACAGAGTCAGAGGGCAGCGTGGAGGCAGCGGATGTTGATTTCCCCGCACGGGACAGAAATAACATCGAGCGAGAGGCAAGCGCATGCTCGTGGGGAAGGCGGACGGACAGACAGCCCCTCCCAGGACCACATGCAGGGAGCCACCGAGCCCAGGGCGGGCACCGCACCGCTTCTGTGCACCCACACGCAGGCGCCTCGCCCGGGCACCGCGACACCCACTGTCCGTTTACTCCCGTTACTGAACGGAATGTGGCGTCCACACACAGAGCGCCATGGAGTTTTAAATGAGAAAAAAAAATCGCTTTGTTGCTACAAATAAGTCCCATGTCTCAGGAGACGCGGGGACTGGCGGGCGAGTTTCCGCATCGACTCCGTGACACACGGAGAACGTGGGGTCCCCGGGGCTCGGGGGGACACGTCACGTGACCGTGCACGTGCGTGGGGACCTCGCCGTACACGACTTCCCCGGCAGCGGCTCTTCCCGGGGGGACGGTGGCCGTGGCCGGGTCTTTCTGCGGGAGGAGGGGGCCGTTTCCGAGGACAGAAGCGTGTTGGCTCCAGAGCACCCAACCAGGAAGAGGGGGACGAGGCCCGGGACACCCAGCCGAGGCGGGAGCACGAGGTATGTACCTGGCAGGACTGTCAACCATGCAGAGTGAAAGGAGATCCCGATAGAGTTACCCGCCAAGCACGTATACTCCCCAGCATCCTCAAAAGTTACATTCCGAATATAGAGCACCTCAATCTCCTTGTCCGTGGTATTAACACCGGCGGCCTAGAAGACAGGGAGCAAGAGAACAGGTAGACACACAGGAACGAGGTGGAGGGGCCGGGGCCTGGGCCCGGCCACACGGGATCCGGCCGCGGCCCGTCCACGAAGCCCACAACCAGAGACAGCGAAGGAGCGGCTCACCGCGCGGCCCGCCACCACACCAGCGCCACCACCGCGGCGCCCGCAGACCCATGGAAACAGCGGCCACGGGGCCGCGCTCGGCTTGGCAGCGCTCTGGAGGGGGGCTTTCCACACGTGTGCGCCCTCTCCCCGTGGGGCTCCGGTCCTGTGGGGGTCTGTCGCGATGGCTGGGGTGCAGAGCGGAACCCCGCAGGCACCTCCAAGCGGGCGCCTTGCACGTCCTTCCGGCCCCTGGGGACCAGCCGGGAGGTCGCCCGGCTGCCAGGCTTGGTCACATGAACCTCCACAGCGTGGAGATGAAGTGGAAGAAACAGCTCGATCTCGGCAGCGAAGGAACTGGCTTTTTTCTCCCCTTTTAACTAAGCATGTGAGTCTGAGTCAGGGCAGGCTGAGGAGACCACCTGCTGCCTTCAGTCGCTCCCATAGGACAGTTGCTCCATGGGCTGCCCCCAATCGCAGACAGCCATGTCCAGGGCACCAAGGTCAGGACAATAAAGTCCAGGACACCAAGGTCAAGAACACCAAGGTCCAGGACACCAAGGCCAGGACTCCAAAGTCAAGGACTCCAAAGTCAAGAACACCAAGGTCCAGGGCACCAAGGTCAGGACAATAAGGTCCAGGACTCCAAAGTCAAGGACTCCAAGGTCCAGGACATCAAGGTCAAAACAATAAGTTCCAGGAATTCAAGGTCAAGATAATAAGGTCCAGGACACCAAGGTCAAGGGCAGCATCTCACAAGATCAGTTATGCAACCAAGGAAACTATGCCCATGGACAAACGACGTTGTGCCCATATTTCCCTAGAAACAGGGGCCGGAGGAGGTGTGACGTCTGCGGAGCCGTGGGCACGCAGGTTCCATGTGCCGTGAGGATGGGGTCTGTGCAGCCCAGACAGACGCCCCAGAAGGAGCGAACGCTCTAAAGCCTGGGGTGGGGGCCCCTCCAGAAGGAGCCAGAGCGGGCACCGAGAGCGCTTTTCCATGGCTGCTGGCACCCACCAGCCGCATCACCCAGGAAAGATGGTGACGACATCCCGAGGCCACCGAGGATCCTATAAGCTGCCTGCCGTCGCCCAAAGCACTACGTCTCTCCAGCGTCTACACCAGCCTTCTTAGAAACACAACAAGGACAGAGGACGAGAAGCCGGAGGCCGTTACCTTGCTGCTTGGGCAGGACCGTGAGCCAGGCGGACTGGTTGGCCTGCCCTATGTAATTGGAGACCTTACATATATACTCCCCTGCGTCCGCCGGCGTCACGTTCAACAGAGCCAGCACTTCCGCATTGGAACTATTTATCCCCGAGTGCTGGAACAGACAGAGAACAACATCGACTCGGCGCCGGGCGGTCCCGCCACCACACGCAGGGCACGGCCTCCGGGGGGCACACGCGGCCGGGGCCCGGCCTCGGGGGGACAGCATACGCCCTCGCCGGGAGAGGGACCTGCTGGCGCGGGGGCTCCCAGCTCTCTGGCCCTTCGCCTCTCAGCTGGACAGGGTGCGGGTCTCAGGGGAGCCCTTGGTGGCTTCATGGGCCGTGGCTCCTTTAAGAGCCTTGTCTGCGAGCAGCTCCGTGTGGGGGAGAACGGCCCGCGTGTCTGCAGCAGTGAGAGGCTGGTGCTGTCCCAGCGGGAGCTGCGGGGAGCGGGCCAGCGGCACGGGGAGGGAGGGTCCCGGCCCCACGTTTCACGGGCGCAGAACCAGCTTCCCTGTCTGTTGGTGTGGCTCAGTGGATGGAGCATCGGCCTGTGGACTGAAGGGTCCTGGGTTCGATCCCAGTCCAGGGCACATGCCTGGGGGGCTTGATCCCCAGTATGGGACGTGCAGGAGGCAGCCGATCCACAATTCTCTCTCACGATTGATGTTTCTCTCTCCTGCTCCCTTCCTCTCTGAAATCAATAAAAATATATATATCTTAAAAAATAAAACATACAGTCTGCTGCTGCTGAAACCGCATGTGAATGCATTTCCACGGCAAAGGGGTCTCTTTGAAAAGGAGAATCTAAAGGGCCGCCCAAAGGTGAGGTCCGATACACACATCTGCGTTACAGCAACAGCGGCCCCACCCCTGGAGGGGAAAAGCTCTTTCTGGCGACCGCCCCCCACGTGCTCCCTGCAGCTGCCCTGCTCGGGGACGATCCCGGGGTCCCCACCCTCACAGACGGCAGCGGAGCCCTCAGGCCGACAAACGGCTCCACTTCTCGGACGCCAGCTCTGGCAGTCCCTCCCCCCACCCCCTCCCCAGGTCCCTGTGGGTTTTGACTGATTCCCCAGCACGCTCTGTCCTGGCCCCTCGGCAGACTGGTCTCTGCGATCCAAGAGGAAGTCGGAGCGCCGTGGCTGGGCCCTGCCAGGGCCCCCCCACCCCGGGGTGCCATCGGCCCCCCCACCCCGGGGTGCCGTCGGGCCCCCCCACCCCGGGTGCCGTCGGGCCCCCCCACCCCCGGGTGCCGTCGGGCCCCCCCACCCCGGGGTGCTGTCGGGCCCCCCCATCCCGGGGTGCCGTCGGGCCCCCCCACCCCCGGGTGCCGTCGGGCCCGGGCAGCCTCACCTTCAGGACCTTGAGGTAGGGCAGCCCGTCCGGCCCATACTTGCTGCCGTTCTTCTCCACGTGCTTGATCCACTGGATGTGGGGCTGGGCGTCGCTGTACACTTTGCAGACAAACTCCACGTCGCCCCCGACCACCGTGGAGGCGTTGGCGGGCAGCCCGGCCTGGAGGATGGGCCGGTGCGGGGACCGCTCTGGGGAGGGGGGAGAGGGGAGGGGACGGGAGGGGAGAGGCGGGTGAGCGGGCTGTGCTGCCCAGAAGGCGGCCTGTGAACTGGGGCCCAAAGGGTCTCGGTCGCTGGCGGTGATGCGGCCGTGGGCCCTGAACAAAGGGGCTCAGGGCTCAGACGGCGCTGGGCCCGGAGCGGAGGCAGCGTGGGCGGAGCTGCGGGCGACCCTGCCACCGGGGGACCCAGGGAGAGTGTTTCCCAGGACGACGAGCAGGGGGACGGCCAGGGCACAGGGACCGTCCTGCATCCACGGGGGCGACGCTGGACGCTCACGTCGAGGGTGAGCTTCACCTCACAGGCAGGGCCGTCACCCCGACGCCGAAACGGCCCCCACACACGGCCCCCAACCCGTGTCTGAGCCGCTTGTTTTTAAAGAAAACAAACCCAGAGCGAGAGCCCCGAGTGACAGGCAGGCGGGAGGCACCAACGCTCTCCCCCGGCATTTCCTCGGGGCGAGCACCTTTCTGTCCTCTGTCTCCTCCTCCGTAAGCAGTGTGTTCGTGCCAAAGGCTGATGCCCAGCCCCTGTTACCCCTGGTTTACTCAGACGTAAACCAGGAAGGGCACCAGCGCCAGGTCCCGGCAGGGCTGACACTGTCTTTTTATTTATTTTCTTGTAAAAACATTTTTTATTGGTTTCAGAGAGAGGAAGGGAGAGGGGGAGAGAGAGAGACATCCATGAGAGAGAGCCATGGACTGGCTGCCTCCCGCACGCTCCATACTGGGGATCGAGCCTGCAACCTGGGCCTGTGCCCTGACCAGGAGCCAAACCCTGACCTCCTGGTTCCCAGGTCGGCGCTCACCACCGAGCCACACCAGCTGGGCTCGACTGTCTTGAGAGAGACGCCGTGCAGGGTGGGCAGGTGACGGGACGGCAGCGCCTCCGCCCTCGCCTGACGTCTCTCGGGAAAAGGGTGTCAACAGAGGACACCCCTCCAGTCTCGGGCCCGCCCCTCTCCCACTCAGAGGTGCGCGAGCATCTCAGCACCAGGGTCCCCGAGGAGCCGGGACAGAGACCTGCTGGTGCCTTGTCCGCAGGCCCTGGGAGGACAAGCTCACTGGACCTCCGTCCACAGCAGCACACACCTCGTTCCCGCTTTTCTCAGGCGCTGCCGTCCCGTCACCTGCCCGCCGGGACCAGCCCTCCCTGCCTCCCCCAGCAGGGCACCGCTGTCTCTAACGCCACTCAAACAGGAGTCCCCCCAGCCGGCCCCGGGGCTGGGAGCACACGTTAGAACAAGAGCTATCGGAGCCTGGCTCCCTCTGGTTAAATGTCACTGCGTGCAGGCTGCTGGACATGAGCAAATCAGTTTTCCTGCAGAAGCCTATTGAGAGTCTTGAAAAACTTTTCAAAAAGCCAGGCCAGTGTGGCTCAGTGGTTGAGCGTCAACCCAGAAACCAAGAGGTCGCCGGTTCAATTCCCCGGGTTGCGGAATCGATGCCCAGGGTGGGGCGTGCGAGAGGCAGTCCATCATGTTTCTCTCTCACAGGTGTTTCTATCTCTCTATCCCTCTCCCTTCCTCTCTCTAAAAAAGCCAGTGAAAACACGTGTAAAAACAAACAGATAAAAACCTTAAGAAAACGAACGCGCGAGGTTCCTCTTAGCACACCGAGTGCCAGGACCTGCCAGCACGTCAGACACCTGCCCGCGTTTCCACGTGAGAAACAGGATAGCTGGCCCCACAGAGCCACTCATCTGCCCCAACAGCATCCCCAGTCAGGCTGCACCAAGGACCCCGAAGAGGAGGCTCCCAGGTTTGGGGGCAGCAGGCTGCAAAGCTGGGAGCCCTGCAGCGCCCGCAGCACCCTCCGCTTCGGCTAACGGCACCGTGGCCGGTGGAGGGGGTGAGCCTCCTGGGCAGGCCTGGCAGCAGCTGGTGCCCGAGACCCGCTCACGGCTGGCAGGGTGGAGTCTGGGTAACCCTGGCCAGCCCCGGCCCCACAGCTACGTCCATGCACACCTGCCCCTGGGCTGGAGACCGCCAGCCGGCTTGTCAGCCAGCCCCCTCGCACCGGGCACCTCCGCGAGGCGTCCCCGTGGGGCCCGTCCACTCTGGGGCTCGGTTTCCCGCCTCTGCACCCGTGTTTGGTGTTCAGAGGTCAGTGTTTACCGTGGCCCCACACCCTGACGGTTGGACACAAAGGAACTCTAAAACCCTACACGCCCCAGCAGCCCGGCCAGCGGACGCCCAGCCGCCTCGTCTCCCTTACGCATGCTTGTCCCTCATAAATCTTTTCACAAGCAAACATTGTGCGGCGCCCGGCCCCGGTGCCCGGAACAATGGGCGCTTTCATGGCCGGCACCCCGGCCGCGCCAGGCCGCGGCGGGCGCTGACTCACCGGGCTGCCGGCAGGGCCGCGCCAGGGCCGGCCGCGCGGGAAGGGACGGCTCCCCCCGCTGTGTCTGTAGAAAACGCCCGCCCGGTGCGTGCTGCTGCTCTCGCACAGGACGGAGGCCAACACCGCACACCGGCCCGATCCAGCCTGCCCGCCCCCTCGCCTTCCACAGACACCCCACTCCGGCCGGGATGGGAGCGGCCCGTCAGGGAGACCGCCCCCTCCGAGCTCCTGACAGCTGCCTTCCTTCGTCGCGAGAATGTTTTCAAACAGCCGGAGGCCTCCCCTCCCTCCCTCCGCTCCCCCACATCAGGCTTTGATTTCCGTCCCAACCGCCCTCTCTGCCCCAAACGTCCTGGACAAGGACCCGGGTGCCAGCATCTGCATGGGGCGCCCCCCCTCCCCCCTTCCCCCTCCCCTCCCCTCTCTCCCCCCCTCTTCTCTTCCCCCTCCCCTCTCCTCCCCCTCCCCCCCCTCCTCCCCCTCCTCCCCCTCCTCCTCCCCCACCCCCGCCCCCAGTGGGCACCATAAGACCCTCCACCAGTGATCACTCCCAGGGATGACAGCAACAGGGCTCCTGTTCTAACTTCTGAAAAACCGGGGTGAATGCTGGGAGCAGCGGCAGCTGGGGAGGGGCCCCCACAGCCGGGCCGGGGGGCACAGGGCAGGGCCGGGGGCACGGAGGCCCTCCAGCAGCTCAGGCGCCCCCCCCCCCCCCCCGGGACTCCACACAGCACTGGAGAACGGACCCTCCGTCTGCCATGCTGTGGGGCAGCCAATAGGAAGACTGTCAGTGGCTCTGGCCGATGTGGTTCAGTGGCTACAGCAGCAGCCCTCGAACTGAAGGGTCCCGGGTTCTATTTCGGTCAAGGGCGTGTACCTCCGCTGCAGGTTTCCCCGGCCCTGGCCGGAGTGCATGCAGGAGGCAACCAATCCACGTGTCTCTGCCACATCCGTGTTTCCCTCTCTGCCCCTCTCCCTCCCGCCCCCTAAAAATCCATGGAAAAATAACCTCGGAGGAAGGTTAACAAAACAGAGAAGAAAGGCTGCTCAGTGAGTCTCTGGAAGAGAGGACGAGCCACAGTGCGCTCACCTCTCCTCCTCTCCGAGGGAGGTACGGGCGAGGTGAGGCCCTGCCCCGTCCGACTCTGGGACATCAGGGGGAAACGAGGCCTGCTTACGGGGCAGGCGTGTGGCAGGCAGGGGAGCCGCCCAGCCCCTCACCTGCGTCTCTGCTGTGGCTGTTACACAGGAAGAGGCTCGGTGCGGGCCAGGGCCCGCGGGGGATGGGAGCAGAGGCCCGAGGCCCCGAGGCCCCGCGAGGATTCCAGATGGAGGCGGAGGGAAGGCAGCCCGGAGGGCGCGGCCACCACGGGACAGTTGGCTGCACGGCTGGAATGAGGTTCCACCAACTACACGCAGAGCAAACAGGCTGCAGGCTGGGGGACGGCCCCCTCCCCTCCCCCGCGCCCCCTCCCCTGGCGCCCCTCCCTCCACATCTCCCCCCCCCCCCGGCGCCTCCTCTCCCCCCCCCCCCCGCGCCCCCCTCTCCCCTCCCCGCGCCTCCCTCTCCCCCCCCCAGCCTCCCTCTCCCCCCCCCCCCGCGCCCCCCTCCCCGGCGGCCCTCCCTCCACATCTCCCCCCCCCACGCCTCCCTCCCCCCCCCGCCCCCCCGCACCTCCCTCTTCTCCTCCCCCCCCCCGCACCTCCCTATTCCCCCCCCCCCTCGCCTCCCCCCCCGCACCTCCCTCTCACCCCCCCTCCCTCTCCCCACACCCTCAGCCCCTGGTCAAGGGCTCCAGTGAAGCCTTTTCTAAAGCAGGAGGCCGAGCGGCCAGGAGTCTAAACATCGAGGCTGATCCACTCTCAAGTCCTGCAGAGAGAGCCCGAGTGACGGAATGGATCCTGGCTAACTGGCCACCAGAACTCGGTAGCGCTGCCCTCCTCCGGACGTCGGAACAGGTTTGAATACAATGATCTGAGCTTCGGCTCGGACGCGGCCCCGAGCAGAGCCTGGTGTGGCCGCCGGAGGCCACGGGAAGAGCCAGGCTCCGAGTGACCCTGTGACTTCAGGCCCCAGGCGGCTGGTTCCCTCAGCATCGGTCTCTAACGCCTTCTCCCCGACACCCACGGCCGTGCAGCACCGTCTCCCGACGGGAGCCCCCGGGACCCCGCCCGAGCGCCCCTCGTGGGCCCGCACCAGCCCGCCTCCGCTCTCGGGCCCCGTGCACCTACGGAGGAGGCGCAGCCGCCAGCCTGTCCGCACACCACCGTCCGCTTCACCCGTCCCCTAGCCCGGCCGCTCAGCAACTCCGCGGGCTGAGGAGGCGGCGCGGGCGGCTGGAGGACGAGGGAGGACCGCAACTCACCGCCCAGCCCGGCCTGTCCTCTCCCCGAGCAGGCGGCGGGGGCCCTCGTCACGTGAACCAAACGGGCTCCAGGCACACGCAAGACACACGCAGCCTGGCTCAGACAGAAGGAACAGGGCCCCGTCCCACGGCAGGAGGCCGTCCCGGTGCCCGCCTGCGCCGGAGAGCGAGGACGGCGCCCTCCGGGGGGTGACAGCGTGTGCCCGGAGCGCGGACGGCGGCCTCCGGGGGGTGACAGCGTGTGCTCGGAGCGCGGACGGCGCCCTCCGGGGGGTGACAGCGTGTGCCCGGAGCGAGGACGGCGCCCTCCGTCCCGGTGCCCGCGGGCGCCGGAGAGCGAGGACGGCGGCCCTCAGGGGGGTGACAGCGTGTGCCCGGAGCGAGGACGGCGCCCTCAGGGGGGTGCCCGCGGTGTGCCCGGAGCGCGGACGGCGGCCCGCAGGGGTTGACAGAGCAGTTGCCCGGAGCGCGGACAGGCGGCCCTCAGGGGGTGCAGCGTGGTGCCCGGGCGCGACAGGTTGCCCTCAGGGGGGTGAAGCGCTGCGCCGGAGAGCGCGGACGGCGGCCTCCGGGGGTTGAACAGCGTCGCCGGAGAGCGGGACGGCGCGCCTCGGGGGGTGACAGCGTGTGCCCGGAGCGAGGACGGCGGCCCTCGGGGGGTGACCAGCGGTGCCCGGGAGCGGAGGACAGCACCCTCCGGGGGGTGCCAGCGTGTGCCCGGAGCGCGGACGGCACCCTCCGGAGGGTGCACGTGGGCCCAAGCGAGGAGCGGCGCCCTCCGGGGGTGCCAGCGTGTTCCCAGAGCGAGGGACGGCACCCGCCGGGGGGTGCCACGTGTGCTCGGAGCGCGGACGCGCGCCCTCCGTGGGGTGACAGCGTGTGCCCGGAGCGCAGACGGCGGCCCTCAGGGGGGTGACAGCGTGTGCCCGGAGCGAGGGACGGCGCCCTCCGGGGGGGTGCCAGCGTTGTGCCCAGAGCGAGGAAGGCACCATCCGGGGGGTGCCAGCGTGTGCCCGGAGCGAGGACGCACCCTCCGGGGGGTTGCCAGCGTGTGCCCGGAGCGCGGACGGCGCCATCCGGGGGGTTGCCAGCGTGTGCCCGGAGCGAGGACGGCGCCCTCCGGGGGTTGACAGCATGTGGCCCGGAGCGAGGACGGCGGCACTCAGGGGGGGTGACAGCGTGTGCCCGGAGCGAGGGACAGCACCCTCCGGGGGGTGCCAGCGTGTGCCCGGAGCGCGGACGGCACCCTCCGGGGGGTGCCAGCGTGTGCCCAGAGCGAGGACGGCGCCCTCCGGGGGGTGCCAGCGTGTGCCCAGAGCGAGGACGGCACCCTCCGGGGGGTGCAGCGTGTGCTCGGAGCGCGGACGGCGCCCTCCGGGGGGTGACAGCGTGTGCCCGGAGCGAGGACGGCGGCCCTCAGGGGGGTGACAGCGTGTGCCCGGAGCGAGGACGGCGCCCTCCGGGGGGTGCCAGCGTGTGCCCAGAGCGAGGACGGCACCCTCCGGGGGGTGCCAGCGTGTGCCCGGAGCGAGGACGGCACCCTCCGGGGGGTGCCAGCGTGTGCCCGGAGCGCGGACGGCGCCCTCCGGGGGGTGCCAGCGTGTGCCCGGAGCGAGGACGGCGCCCTCCGGGGGTTGACAGCATGTGCCTGGAGTGCAGACGGTGCCCTCTGGGGGAGGAGGGGACTCACCCACGACGTCCAGGTGGTAGGTGTGGTTGATGGAGCCGCACTCGTTCTCCACCACGCAGGTGTAGTTGCCCTTGTCGGACGGCACCACGCTCTCCATGATCAGGCTCCAGTGCTGGTTGCGGACCTGCAGGGCGGGGGCAGAGGCGGTCAGTCCGCGGCCCCCTGCTCGGGCCCGGGCTGCTGTCTGGGTTAAACAGTCGGGGGCGATGAGGAAGGTCGGGGTCTCCTGAAGCTGCCCGGCCTACGAGCCAGGAGGTCAGGGTTCGGTTCCCGGTCAGGGCACAGGCCCGGGCTGTGGGCTCCATCCCCAGTGGAGGGCGTACAGAAGGCAGCTAGTCCATGATTCTCTCTCATCACTGATGTTTCTCTCCCTCTCCCTTCCTCTTGAAATCAGTAAAAACATATTTCAAAAAAGAAACAGCATTCTGAGGAAACTCCATGCTGTCTTCCGGAACGGCTGACCCGGCTGCATTCCCACCAGCAGCGCACGAGGGTCCCCTTTTCCCCACATCCGTGCCCAAGGCTGGGCTCTTCTCAACCAAACAGCCAGCGATGCCCACAGACCGGGTCCGAGCAGCCCCTGCCTGGCCGAGGACACTGCCGGTCCGACCTCACGGGGCTGATGGCGGACAGCAGGCTCACCCGCAGGCGAAATGAAACAGATCCCGGGCCTCGGACGGACAGCCGAGCGGGTCTGTGCTCCAGGCTCGCAGAGACCTCTCTTGGTCCCGGCTGGGCCACAGCCTGGCAGCCGGACCACGAGAGGCGAGGTCCCCTCACAGGCAGCCGAGCACCTTCTGCAGAAAACTCAGGGGCTGTCCTGAAGGAGAGGGGCGGGCACTGACTTTCCTGGGGCGACTAAAATTCCACCCAGCCCGGCCGGTGGGACTCAGCTGCTGAGCATCAACCTAGGAACCGGGAGGTCAGGGTTCGGTGCCCGGTCAGGGCACAGGCCTGGGTGGCAGGCTCCCTCCCCAGTGGGGGCATGAAGGAGGCAGCCGGTCCACAATTCTCTATCATCATTGATGATTTTCCCCCGATTCCTCTCCCCCACTCTCTGAAACCAATAAAAATGTGTGTGTGTGTGTGTGTGTGTGTTTTAATAAGTAAATAAAGCTCAGCCCACATTCCAGCCCTGGCCGCTGACCTGGAGCCGCCAGCCTGGAGCATGAAGCAGCTTAGGTAAGCTCCCCGGCTCAGCTCTGGCGAATGGGCCTCGACAAGACACCCCCCTCCCCCCCAAGCGCTCAGGGTGCCAGGGAGGGGATGCCCCGTCTCTGAGCAGCCAGACCTGGGGCGGCCACGTGGGGTGAAGCCACAGGCCGGCCTCCCCGAGCCCGTAATCCCGCCCGCAGCCCGCGGTAAATACCAGCCTCTGAGCCGCTGCTCAGATGTCACGCCGGGAGCCCATTATCGTGGCCACGGCCGAGCCTGGACTCCTTCCAGCCCGCCGCGTCTTCCCAGAGCCGGGACCCAGACTTGGCACAGGGCGTGTTCCAAATGGAGCCGAACCCCAACGGGCAGGGGCACCGCCTGCCTCTGCCCAGGGTGGGAGCCCCGGCCTGGCGATCCCTGGACGCTGGAGATCACTGCCCCAGCCTGAACGCGGACGTCGTGGGGACGCCCAGGGATGCTGTAAAAGTGTACGTTCACATGGACCCGTGGTCGGCAAACTGAGGCTCTCAGGCCACATGTGGCTCTTTGGCCCCTTGAGTGTGGCTCTTCCACAAAACACCACGGCCCGGGCAAGTCTATTTTGAAGAAGTGGCGTTCGAAGAAGTTTAAGTTTAAAAGATGTGGCTCTCCAAAGAAATGCCAATTGTCGTCCTGTTGATATTTGGCTCTGGGGACGAATGAGTTTGCCGACCACGGGCTTAGAACATGCTTTCAGGACAAGCACACGGACCCCGGGCTCTGCCTTACAGATATGCTGCTCCGAGGGCGGTGTCTGTCCTCCCCCAGCGGCTCCCGCCTCGCGTCACCAATGCCAACCAGATCTACACGCCGTGGTGATCCCCACGGGGGGGCCCTGGAAGCCACCAACGGGGGGGCTGTGTGTTCGAGCTGGATGGGCCCCCAACAGTCGTGGCTTCAGGGGAAGCTACAAGCAGTAACTCCCTGAAGGTGGGGAGCAGAGGCACGGGCTGTGGGGCGTGTTCTGAGGGGCTTGGGGGTTTATTCATTGTTGTGAATCTCACTCAAGGATCTTCTTCACCGCTCTTTAGAGAAAGCCCTCGGAGACGGGAGACAGAACCGGTTGGCTGCCTCCCGCACACACCCAGATCCAGGCCAGGGACAGAGCCTCACCCAACGTACTTGCCCGGAATCCAACCCGGGACCCTTCCGTCTGCAGGCCGACACTATCCACTGGGCAACACCGGCCAGAGTGGTGCTGTTTTTAACATTCTGTTTTCCACACCACAATTCCGTGCGAGCCACCACTCCCACAAAAGGGTATGCTCCTCACCCCGCTCTCTGGCTTCCCTGCCGTCGGCGCAAAGGCAGGCACACCGGCCCCGAGCAGGGAGGAAAGGATGCAGACCGAGGAGCTGTGAAAAGCCGCTGAGCTCATTAACACGCGGGGCATGCAAATGAGAGCAATAACGAGGCTGTTTTTCACCGCTGATGAGCCAGGATTAGACAGATCAGCGCACGAAGCAATCATGGAGAGAAAGAGCCGCAAACAAGAATGGGGACGAGCTTCAGAGCCTGGCCAGTCCCAGGCTTTCCCGACCAACACTTCGAGGCCGAGCACCGCGGACAGGAGCGCCTGGCCCGAACCCTCGCCCTGTGGGACAAAAGCCTGGTTCTGCCCGCACCCCACACCCGTCACCACGGAGACAAAAGGCGGCTCAGACAGGTTTCCCCGGATGCTCGTCACCTGGATCCCCCCGGGGTGCCCGTCACCCCCTCCCCAGCTACCTCCAGGGGACAGCTGGGAATGTGGGCTTAGCTGAGGAGGAAGACGCCAAAACACAAAGGCGAAAGGTCAAAGTGTGGCTTCCCCGTGGCAAAGCGGCCCAGACGTTTCCAAACAGCCAGGTGTGCGATAAGCAGCAGTAAACACGCAGGAGCCGGGAGGCACGCGGGCTCCGCGCCCAGCCGCTGTGCCAGCAACACGCCCGCCTTCCTCCCATCGGCGAGGCACGGGGGACAGCCCCAACCTCACCATCACAAGGCGCTCCACACACTGAGCTCAACACAGACCAAGCGTAGTCAGGCACACGACACCTCACGGCCTGAGCCACGCCTGGGGGCCCAGGCCCCCTCCTGGACCTGCGTGCGTGAGCGGGCGACACGTGTCACGGGCGGGGCGCTTCGGGCTGCAGATGGGAGCCAACGCCTGTTTAACCGTGATCACCAAGACGTTTGCTTTGCAGGAGGTGCCCCCGGAGCAGGGCTGGGCGAGTCCGGCCCCCCAGACGCAGGAGCTTCCCGCCTCTCGGCGCCCGCCCTGCTCTCCAGGGCCTGGGCGTGGGCGCGAAGGCCGTGCCCTGCAGACGCTCAGCGAGGAGCCTGGGCAGAGAGCCAGCAGGGCGCCCGCTGCCTTTTGGATTTAACTTTGAAAATCCCCACGCCTGCCCAGTGGGTGTGGCTCAGTGGCCGATGCCTAGTTAGGGCTCAGGCCCAGGCCGCGGGCGCGGGCCTGCTGGAGAGTGTGTGGGAGCGGCCGATGGATGTTTCTCTCTGCCCCTCTGCCTTCCTCTCGCTCTGAAAAGCCGTGAAAAAATCTTAAGAAGAACAAGATGGTGTTTACATGGCCTTTTCCCCGGAGGCACGCCCGTGGCCTCTCCGCTCCCCGCGGCGAGTGTGTGGCCTGAGCCACGGCTTCTGAGGACCCGGGACCCCGTGAGCAGGGCCTGGGCTTCCCCTGGCGCCCGGGACTTGCTCAGGCCTCATGGGCTGGACAGAGGGACCGAGGCCTGGCGGGCTCCACAGGCACCTCCAGGGATGGCTGTCCACCGCACCCGGGGGAGCGAGGGGCAGACTCGGGGCACAGGCGGGGGCGCGGCTCAGAGCCCTCGCGGATGGAGGACGAAGGGCGGGCAGACTCCTCTCCCGAGGGACAGTCCTCCGGGCTCTGCTCAGCCCGGCAGCTGCCTCAGGCGCTGAGGTGGGTGCCGTCTCGGTTTATAGACCATAAAGTGCATAGAGAACAGACTCCGCCTCCAGCCCGTCTGCTCTTAAACCGCATCCCGTGCAGCACCGGGCCGGGGGGCTGCGCTTCAGCATGCACGCGTGGCCAGGCTCACCCGCGTGTGCTTCCACAGAAGACACGGAAACCACCGATGACGGTCACGGCCAGGCCGGTCCGGGAGCTCCCGGCGCCTCGGAAATGAACGGACAGACCCGTGCGGTGTACCTTATACCCCGATGAGGACAGACCACGCGGCCGGCGTACCTTATACCCCGGTGAGGACAGACCGCGCGGCCGGCGTACCTTATACCCCCCCCCCCCCCCCCCAGGTGAGGACAGACCGCGCGGCCGGCGTACCTTATGCCCCGGTGAGGACAGACTGCGCGGCCGGCGTACCTTATACCCCGATGAGGACAGACCGCGCGGCCGGCGTACCTTATGCCCCGGTGAGGACAGACTGCGCGGCCGGCGTACCTTATACCCCGATGAGGACAGACCGCGCGGCCGGCGTACCTTATACCCCGATGAGGACAGACCCGGCCAGCGTACCTTATGCCCCGGTGAGGGACACGGCCAGGCGGGTCCCGGGCGCTCCCGGCGCCTCGGAAATGAACGCGTACCTTGTAGCCGCCGATGCGGTGCTCCTGGCGGAACTCCTTCCCGTTCTTCAGCCAGCGCATCGTGGGCGTGGGGTTCCCGCCGGCCGGGCAGCGGAACTTGACCGTGTTGGCGGCGGGCACCGCGTGCAGCCGCTTCTCCATCTTCTCGGTGCTGGTCCAGTAGGGCGCTCCTGTGCGGGACAACGGACAGCGTGGGCGGGCGCACGCCCGAGGCCAGCAGAGCCGGGGTGAGGCCGGCCTTAGCCTGACCCCTGACCCGGCTGAGTCCCGGGGGTGGCCTGCTGGGTGTTGGTCTTTTACTGCTTTGGTTAGCCCTCCCCGGGATGCTTTCCCGTGGATGTTAGAGAGAGCGGAGGGAGAGGGGGACAGAGAGAAACATCGATGAGAGAGACACAGTTCTCCCTCCACGTCGAGCAGGTAGCTAAACCGGAGGCGACGGCGCCAACGTCCTGGGAAGCTGCCCCTCCGAGTCCCTCCCGCTTGACCTCCCCCCCTGGGACCTCCCTCGCAGCAGACACTGACTCCGTCCGCAAGCGGGAGGATCAGAGGACTGACTGACCCTGAGGTTTAAGTGTAACAAGAAGACGGGGGCTGCTGCGCCTGCCTACCAACCGCACGAGTCCCAAGGCCGACGTCTACGGTTTACGGTCTCCTCCCGAGACCAGGGAGAGGCTCAGCCCGAGCTCGCAGGGAGCATGGCGTGTTACCAGCGGCCCAGCAGCGGCCGGGACCACGTCACCCGGCAGTTAAGTGATTTGATCAAGGTCACCGGGCGAGAGGCCGGCGGGGCTGCCCGAGGCCCCAGCAGCGCCCTCTCCTCCCCAGCTGCCCTCTGACCTCTGCCATGGTAACTAAGTCAAAAGTTCACCGTTTACGTGAGCTGTGGACACTGAGGGCTGCCAACTGTGTGTTTATTGATGCAAAACTAAAAAAGAAAAAAACACAGCCTGTTTCAGCTCCTAGATTAAGTCTCCCAGCTCCCTAAAGCTCCACTAAGGCCCGTGCCTAAGTCTGTAATCAGACCTTTAAAAAACCACTAATCGGGGCATCTGAACGCTCTGGGCCCGGGAGGGAGGCCTGCCCAGGGGCCCTGCCCCTCCATCTTCTGTTCTCCGTCTTTCACGAACGAAGAGAAATAATCTACAAAACGTGGAGACGGGCGTGAGGGTGTATGTATGGGGGAGGGGGGCTTCAGCTGAGAAATCTCATTAAAACAATGAACTTGCTGACCAGTGAGACCGTCAATAAGAAAAACATTAGGCAAGTTACCTCCACGTGAACACCAGAGTCGAACGAGGAGGTCGACCAGCTGCCCCGTGGGAGCTCCCAGGATCTGCCTTCAGAAGCCCCGTGCCCACTGAGCATTAACCCATGAACCAGGAGGTCAGGGCACAGGCCCGGGTTGAGGGCTCCATCCCCAGTGCAGGGCGTGCAGGAGGCAGCTGATTCACGATTCTCTCTCACCATTGATGTTTCTATGTCTCTCTCCTTCTCCCTTCCTCTCTGACGTCAGTAAAAATATATTTTTTAAAAAGAAGAAAACCCTGCAGTTGCTGGCGAGGCTGTGTGCCTAGAGGGGCCTGAGGAGGCAGCAGGACTGGTCCTGGGAGAACGGGGGGGGCGTTCATTCCACAGGAGAATTCCGAGGCGATCAGGGCGCCTGTGGAACGCGGTTTTGTTTTGTTGTTTTGTTGTTTCAATTCTTAGAAACGCACACAGAAGGAAGAAGCCAGCGTTTGCCGAGAAATGACCGTGACCACACGGCAGTCCGACTGGAGCGGCGGGGCTGCACGCCACATCAGCAGACTCATCACCGGAGGATGGCGATCTCGGCCAAGCCCCTCCCGACAGCACGGCCTCGCTCCCGCCACCGGCTCGGCGCCGGCCACGGTCCCGCAGGCACGGAACCAGACAGAACCAGCTGGTCTCTCTCCGTACGACGGAGGCGCCGCTGCGGGCAGGGATCTGGGTGCAGCCGCCTCGCGATCGCCCCGGGGACAGAGCCTCCAGCTCTTTAGAAACACACTCGGAGGCGATGAAACTCCCCCCGGACACGCACATACATGTCTACTTAGCCCCGAACAGGACCCGGTCATGCCTTCCCGCGCTAACGTGCACGGGAGCCTCTAAGCCCTCCGCCTGGACGCCCTTTGAAACGGCCTTTCCGTCCCGGAGGTCGGCCTGGCGGCGGGCGCGTGAGCGGCGGCATTTCCTGCCGGCGGGCGGTGACGGTCACAGGCGGCTCTGCTCGCGGAGCGCCCAGCGCGGGGGGGACCTGCGTCACCAGCGAGTCTGTGCTCAAACACGGCCCTTCCCACCTGTGGGGGGGACCCCGGCCCAGAGGGCGGGGAAGTCAGACCAACCATCAGCCCCTAGGGCTCTGCAGCCTGGGGTTTCCACGGCGACAGAGGCTGGTGTGAACGCGGGTGGGTGGTCAAAGCCCTGGGACCCCTGAGGAAGGACGCGGGCTTTGCCGGTCTCCAGGGAAGGTCCCGCCCACGTGTGGCAGGAAGGCCCGTGGACCTGCCTCTCCCCGATGGGGACGTCTGTGTCGAGAGATCCCTGAGAGGCGTGGGCGAAGCCTGGGACCCCACACGCACTCACTCCGCGCCCAGGCGGGCGCTCGGCCCCCCTCCGGAGGCGGCTGCGGGGACAGGCAGGCCCGAGACACGCGATAACACGCGTGAAGTAAGAACGGAGCCCGATCCGGAAAGCCTGGTGGCTCGGTGGGCGTGGGGGAAACCAGACCAGCCTGGCTCCGGCGCACGAGGGAGAAGGGAGCACGGACGGAGATGTTGGCATCACGCCTACAGAGGTCCATCAGCTGGACCGACACCCCACGGGCCAGGGCCCACGTTCGACCTTCCTCCCTTCGTTTCTGACCGTTCGTTTTGCCACTGCACTCCACTTTCCAGATCTAAGAAGAACTACCACGCCGATAAGCCTGCCTTTTTTATAGTTAACCGTCAGAATCAATTAGACAGCCTTCGCGCAAACTGGAGGAGGGAAATTGATAGGCTGTCCCCCCCACAAACATGCAGACGTGTACATTGTAATAGCTCTACTGGTGTTTCTTCCTCTTCAGACTTAACCCCCCCGGAGCTGACAATTACTCAGACTGTGTACACATTCTGGGGGGACACCCTGCATTTTCAGGCCACAAGACACAGACCTGACACCCACCTGCCGGGAAAGAGAAGACTCTTCAGGAAGCTGGGCCCGTCCCCCTCAGCACGGGGTCAGGGGGCCCCGTTCTCAAACTTCCCGGGAGAGGAACCCTCAGACACGCGCGCACACACACGCGCACGCACACACACGCACACGCGCGCACACGTGCGCACACACACATGCACACGTGCGCGCACACGCACACCCCGGCATTTCCCGACGACCAGGAGCTGCTCGGGGATCGCACTGGACACGCGTGGGCTCCCGGGCTGAAAAGGGGAGACCTCGGTGCTTCTACCGTTTTCCTGTCGCCAGCAGGTTTGGCACCGGAGGGGGCAGAGGCGTTGCAGCGGCGGCCGCCCCGCCCCCGCCCCCGCCCCCGCCCCCGCCCCGGCCCCGCTCTGCCCACAGCCCGGCCCCGGCCCACAGCCCCGCCCCTGCCCCGCCCCGCCCCGCCCACAGCCCCGCCCCGCCCCCGCCCCGCCCCCGCCCCGCCCGCAGCCCCGCCCCGGCCCCCGGTCCCCGCCCCCGGCCCCCGCCCCGCCCCGCCCCCGCCCCTGCCCCGCCCCGCCCCGCCCACAGCCCCGCCCCGCCCCCGCCCCGCCCCCGCCCCGCCCACAGCCCCGCCCCGGCCCCCGGTCCCCGCCCCCGGCCCCCGCCCCGCCCCGCCCACAGCCCCGCCCCGGCCCCGGCCCCGCTGGTCCCCAGGCCACAGCTGGGCCGCCCGCCGCCCTCCGCACTGGAATCAGAGCGGCCTAATCACACGGACAGATGGCGGGCCGGCCGCGGGAGCCCTATCGCGTTCAATCGCCTCTCACGTTTCACAGCGTCTCTCCGGGACGGCTAACACCGCCCCTAATCGCCAGGCCCCGCGTCGGGGCAGGCTGGTGTCATTCGAGAGCTAATTACACAGAGACGCGGCCGGGCCAAGGCGCGCTGGCGTTCTCGCGAGGGAGCTCCCACTCCGGCCGCCACTCCGGCCCGTCCATGCTAACGGCGCTGGGCGCTGGGCACTGAGCGCTGGGCGCTGGGTACTGAGCACTGAGCACTGAGTACTGAGCACTGGGCGCTGGGCGCTGGGTGCTGGGTGCTGGGCGCTGGGCACTGAGCGCTGGGCGCTGGGTACTGAGCACTGAGCACTGAGTACTGAGCACTGGGCGCTGGGCGCTGGGTGGGGGATGGGCACTGGGCACTGAGCACTGAGTACTGAGCACTGGGCACTGGGCGCTGGGTGCTGGGTGCTGGGTGCTGGGCGCTGGGCGCTGGGCACTGAGAACTGAGAAATGGACACTGGGTGGGGGATGGGCACTGGGTACTGAGCACTGAGCACTGAGTACTGAGCACTGGGCGCTGGGTGGGGGATGGGCACTGGGTACTGAGCACTGAGAGTACTGGGCGCTGGGCACTGAGTGCTGGGCGCTGGGCACTGAGAGCTGAGCGCTGGACACTGGGTGGGGGATGGGCACTGGGCACTGGGCACTGAGCACTGAGTACTGAGCACTGGGCGCTGGGCGCTGGGTGGGGGATGGGCACTGGGCACTGAGCACTGGGCACTGGGCAAGCACTGGGCAGCGGGGCTGGCTCAGGATCAAAACCTGGAGGTCTGCCCTGACAGGTATGGCTCAGTAGATAGAGCGTTGGCCCGCAGACCAAAAGGTCCCTGTTTGATTCCGGTCAAGGGCTCGCACCTCAGTTGCAGGCTCCTCCCCAGCCCAGACCCTGGTCGGGGTATAGGTGGGAGACAACCATTGATGTGCTTCTCACACATCGATGTTTCTCTGTTTCCCTCTCCCTTCCACTCTCTCTAAAAATCAATGGGAAATATCCTCAGGTGAGGATCTTCTTTAAAGAAGAAGAGAACCCAGAGGCGTGTGGCCGGCAGTCCTTCTGAATCAGAGACAGAGATTCCGTCCGCCCGGCCCACTTGTTACGTAATCTCCACCTCGCTGTTACACGGTGTTATTTCCCCAGGCTGGGATCAGCACGCCGATCGAAGAGCAGGCCCGGTGCTGATCGCCAGGGCAACGCCACCACAGCCGAGCTGGTGCAGCCAGCTGTCCCCCAACCAGTGGCCATGACACCCCATGCGGGCACTGCCTCGGAGCCGGGAACAGCAGGGCCACCCGGGCGCAGGCTGCAGAGCTGGGACCGGACAGGCCGCAGGCCCACAGCAGAATCCCAGCTTCCTGGTCGGAGCTTTTCTGTTCAGTGAAACGGGACAAGCTCTCCTCTCCGCCCCATCAGGCCGTGGGGGGCCCCGACGGAGCCGGCAGCGGGCACGGAGCCCGCCCGGACAGACCTCACTGCGGCCGCAGCGTCTCTCGCCGTCTCCCCCGTGGAGCCAGAGCGCCGACGAGGAGCAAGCGATGTCCTCCGAGGTGCAGGCTTTACTAGTGACCACGACAGCCTCGTCAGCAGCTGCTGCGGAACGCCCCTGCCGATCGCCGGGGACGCGCTCACGCACCCGCCACCCGCGCATGAGCAGCTCCCGAGCTCGGGCGCCACTGCCTTCGGCAGAAACGGTGCTCACAGCCTTTCCCTCGCAGCGCGAGGCTCACCTTCTGAGGCTGCAGAGCACCTGGTGGGCTGAAACGCCGTTAAGATGCCTCAGTGCCGCCCAGACCCGCGGTAGGCAAACTGCAGCTCTCGAGTCACGCTTTCCCGCTCTGTGGACGAATGAGTTTGGCGGCCACTGACCTAGACTCTCGACTCCAATCATCACAGGCTGCTGCTGTTCCTTGTGATGAAGCCCCTATCCCACGGTGGGCAAACTCATTCGTCCACGCAGCGGCAAGCACGGCTCCCGAGCTGCCTGTGGCTCCAGAGCCGCAGTTTGCCGACCACTGGCCCAGATCACCCCTTTTCTTTTCTTTTATTGATGTGAGAGAGGAAGGGAAAGGGAGGGAGAGAGAAACACCCTGCAGGCTCCCTCCTGGGGATGAGCCTGCCACCCGGGCCTGTGCCCCGACCGGGAATGGAACTGAGGCCTCCCCGTTCATGGCTTGATGCTCAACCCCTGAGACACCCTGGCCAGGCCCAGGCCACCCTCCTCCTCGCAGGGTGTTTTCACAGCACCCGTGGCCTCTACCCACAAATGCCACGGCCCCTCCCTCCCCTGTGCGACCACCCAGCGTGGCCGCGTGGCCCCGGGGAGGCACAGACCCGCGGGGCCCGCCAAGCGCCCCCACCGTGAAGGAGAGCCGGGCTGCGGCGCGGAGTGGCTCGGCTCCGGCTCCAGAGTGAGAGGCCCCAGGACAGAGGAGGCGGGAGACAGGCTCAGGCGGAAAGAAGAGGCGGACAGTGAGAGGTGCAGACACAGGTTTATTCTCAGCCGGAAGCGGGAGAGCGGGCACAGCGAGAGGGCGGGGGCGTCGCGGAGCGGCGGTGGAGGCGGTGGGAGCGGCGGCTCCGGGCGGCGTTACTTACGCTTGTTGCTGTTCTCACTGACAAAGTCCTCGGAGCCGTCCCCATCGTCCTCGTCGTCCCCGGAGGAGATGGCGTCTGCGAGAGAACACACCTATGTCTGTGCCGAGCCTGGGGCGCCGCCTGACGGGTCCCCGGGGCCGGGACGCTGACCGCCCGGGCCCGGCCGGGACCTGAGCCGCGCCCGGCTCTGCTCGCCCGCGGCCCTCGGTCTGGCTCCCGATCCTGTGTTTCCTGCACCAGCTGCCCACGGGACAGGACCGGCCCGGGACACCGGGGTCTGAGCCTCCGATGGCGCCCCAATTCTCCGATTCACTCACCCCAGCTGCCTCCGGCCAGACCCATGGGTGCTCAGGGTCCCTCCGGGAAGGCATTGGGCCCAGAAGCTCGCAGCCTCCCTGAGGCTCTGCCCGCTCCCCAACGTTCTGAACACAAAGCTCTGAGCGCGGCCACGGAGCCGGAGGCGGGCAGCCCCCTGGCTGCGGTAAACACCCGGAGAGATGCTCCACGTCCGACCGAATGAATCCGAGAACACTAGCATCCAGATCTCAATTCCGTTCAAAGCGCCAAGCATGCAAGACGGGGCGGGGGGAGGGAGGGGGAGGGGGAGGGGGCCTGGAAGGAGGCTTCCCTGTGAAGACAAGCATCACGCTGCCGGTGAGAGCCAGCCATTTCGTTGTTGGTAATCCTCCCCCGAGGGGATTTCCCTTGTGTTTTTTTTTAAATATATTTTATTGAGTTTTTACAAAGAGGAGAAGAGAGGGATAGAGAGTTAGAAACATCGATGAGAGAGAAACATCCATCAGCTGCCTCCTGCACACCCCTACTGGGGATGTGCCTGCAACCAAGGTACATGCCCCTGACCGGAATTGAACCTGGGACCTTTCAGTCCGCAGGCCGACACTCTATCCGCTGAGCCAAACTGGTTTTGGCTGAACATTGGTTTTTAGAGATGAGGAGGGGGAGAGACAGAGAGAGAGAAACATCGTCGGGAGAGAGACACATCGATGGGTCGCCTCCCGCACACGCCCAGACCAAGGCATAAGATCAAACCCAGGACCCTTCAGTCCACAGGCCCACACTCTAGGGGTGTCGAACTCAATCAGAGAAGGGGCCAAAATCTAAAATCCAGCCTAAATCTCGGGCCGAATGGTTTACTGAACAGTCATAAATTGTCATTGTGATGGAAACGCAGCGGAGTGCAGTGATGACAGCGCGGTGCGGGCCACATTGCAAGGCCTGGCGGGACGGATTTGGCCCGCGGGCCTTGTGTTTGACACATGTGCTCTAACCACACGCCGGACAGGGTGAGAATCCCGTCATTTCTAATGGCCAGCCTCCCTGGTCCCCAGAAAGAATTTCAAAAGCGGGCCAATGGCCCACGGAAGCTCTGTGCCCGGATCCCCAGCAGGTCCCACCTCCGAGTCTCGGGCCCAATAAAACACTCCCCAGGGCCCTGGCCGCCTGGCTCCGCGGAGAGCGGCGACCTGTGAACCAGGGGGTCAGGGTTCCATTCCCGGTCGGGGCACAGGCCCGGGCTGCGGCTCCAGCCCCAGGAGGCGGCCGATCCGTGGCTCTCTCATCGTGGATGTCCCTCTCTCCCTCTCCCTTCCTCTCTGACATCGACAGAAACGTACAAACTTTTAAATGTCACCCAGGAAACGCCTCGAAGCAGAGACGGCGGGGCCGAGGCCACTCACCTGTGACATTGACCATGAAGTAGGCGGTCTCGCTGTCCTGCGTCCTGGCCGCCGTGCAGGCATAGAGGCCAGAGTCCCGGGGCGTGGCGCCCCGTATCTGCAAGTACTCCCCAATGAGCACCGTCCGATTGCTGGGCCCCACGTGCACCCCGTCCTTCGTCCAGCTGATCCGGGCGGCGCCGCCCACCCGGCAGCGCAGCTCCAGCGCCTCCCCCGGCGCGGCCACGTACACGTCGGGCTGGGAGATGTGGTATTTGGTGGGCGGCTCTGCAGGGGGGAGAGGAGCAGAGAGCAGCGGAGAGGAGGCGGAGAGAACGTCCGACAAGGTCAGTGGAGGCCCCTTGTCCCAGGAGAGCAGGTCTCCTTGGCAAAGGGCCCCTCGGGCTGGTCTCTCCAGCCATCCCAGGAGCCAGCACCCCAGGAGCCAGCACCTCCCAGAGAGCCAGCACCCCAGGAGCCAGCCCCCAGAGAGCCAGCACCCCAGGAGCCAGCACCTCCCAGAGAGCCAGCACCTCCCAGAGAGCCAGCACCTCCCAGAGAGCCAGCACCCCAAGAGCCAGCACCTCCCAGAGAGCCAGCACCCTCAGGAGCCAGCACCCCAAGAGCCAGCACCCCAGGAGCCAGCACCTCCCAGAGAGCCAGCACCCCCAGGAGCCAGCACCCCAAGAGCCAGCACCTCTCAGAGAGCCAGCACCCCAAGAGCCAGCACCTCCCAGAGAGCCAGCACCCCCAGAGCCCGCACCCCCATGAGCCAGCACCCCCAAGAGCCAGCCCCCAGAGAGCCAGCACCCCAGGAGCAGCACCTCCCAGAGAGCCAGCACCCCAGAGAGCCAGCACCCCCAGGAGCCAGCCCCCAGAGAGGCAGCACCCCAGAGAGCCAGAACCTCCCAGAGAGCCAGCACCCCAGAGAGCCAGGACTCCCCAGAGAGCCAGGACCACCCAGGAGCCAGCACCCCAGAGAGCCAGGACTCCCCAGAGAGCCAGCACCCCCAGGAGCCAGCACCCCAGAGAAGCCAGTACACCCCTTAGAGAGCCAGCACCCCCAGGAGCCAGCACCCCTAGAGAGGCCAGCACCCCTAGAGAGCCAGGACCTCCCAGGAGCCAGCACCCCAGGAGTCAGCACAAGCCTCGGGCAGGGACCCAAAGGAGCACCTGCAGAAGCTGCCCCCACAGTGACCACACGCAGGCTCAACCCGAACCCGAGGCCCAGACGGACGGACCCTGGACAAGGACACGGACAGGACCTGCCGCCCAGCTGCCTGCAGTGCCGCCCGGAGACTCCACTCTGGTGGCACTTCTCACGTGAGAACGTGTTTAACCAACATTTCACTCAACGTGACTGCATGGCTGTGTCCACGCGCGCGCACACGCATCCACACACACACACACACACACACACACACACACGCATTCTCACACACACACACATTCTCTCTCACACACACACACACACACATCCACAGACACACACACGCATTCTCACACACACATTCTCACACACACGCATTCACATCCACACAGACACACACACTCATTCTCACACACACACGCATTCTCTCTCACACACACACACACACACACACACACACACACATTCTCTCTCTCTCTCTCTCTCTCTCACACACACACCCACACACACACACACACACATTCTCACACACACACACATTCTCTCTCTCACACACACACACACGCATCCACAGACACACACACACACATTCTCACACACACATTCTCACACACACACACACGCATTCACACACACATTCACACACACGCATTCTCACACACACACACACACGCATCCACACACTCATTCTCACACACACACGCATTCTCTCTCACACACACACACATTCTCTCTCTCACACACACACACACACACACACACTCTCTCTCTCTCTCTCTCACACACACACACACACACACACACACACACACTCTCTCTCTCTCTCTCTCTCTCTCTCTCTCTCTCACACACACACACACACACACACACACACACGCTGGGCCAGGCTTCCTCGTTCCCGCGGAGCCCAGCCTCCTCACACTCAGACCCGGACACTAAGGGTCCGTCCGTGAGGCCCCGCCGGCGTCCGGAGCTCCTGGCTCCCGGGGACAGGCTTGCGGGCAGGGAGTCTGTGCTCAGAGCGGCCGGGTGTCTCTACGAGTAAAAGCCTGGAGCCCGAAGGCCACACCTCACAGCAAAGGCCCGGACAGCGAGGCCTCTCCTGGTCTTTGCCGACCCGCCCCGAAGCCGGACCTTGGACCCGACCCCGATCGGAAGCCGGACCCCGCCCCGAAGCCATATCCCGACCCCAAGCCAGACCCTAGACCCGACCCCAAGCCAGACCCTGGACCCGACCCCGATCGGAAGCGGACCCCGCCCCGAAGCCATATCCCGACCCCAAGCCGGACCCTAGACCCGCCCCCGCCCCGAAGCCGGACCCCGCCCCCAGCTGCTGACAGGCCACGCTGGAAGCTGTCCCTCCCGCCACCTCCCTCCGCACAGGCCGGGCCGTCCTGGGCCTGTTCCCCTCCCGCTATCCGCCCCCCCGCCCCCCACGAGGCTGGCCCCAACAGGAAGTGAAGGGGATGCGGCCCTCCTGCCTCTCTCTCCTCAGGGATGTTTCCATCTCTCCTTCCCTCTCCCACCCTCTCTATAAATATATAGAGAAATCAATAAAAGTATATTGAAAAGTAAATAAGATAAAAACAGCAGGATGAGAAGGCGCCCTGACAGCCGGTCAGAAAATGAGTGGGGTGTCCTGCGTGGACCGTGGATGCCCGCCTGAGGGGGGGCCGCCCCCCAAACCCTCCGCAGGCCGCCCCCCCGGAGGCAGAGTCATGACCTCAGCCAGGGGTGACATCACGCTGATGTCACCAGCCATGAGCTGAATGCGGCCACCTCTCAGGAAACAGATTCCCGCTGTGGGAGGGACTCTCCTGAGGTCCCGAGGATCTGTGGCTCAGGGGCTCCGTCACATGTTCCCTCCAGCACCCATGTCACTCCGTCACCCCCCATGTCACCCCCCTGTCACCCCCGTCACCCCCTGTCACCCCCATGCCACCCCCGTCACCATGTCCCCCTCACCCCTCACCCCCCTGTCCACACCCCGTTCACCCTCCCTGTCACCCCTTCACCCTCGTCACCCCATGTCACCCCGTCACCCCCGTCACCCAAGTCACTCCATCCACCCTCGTCACCCCCAGGTCACCCCTGTCACCCCCGTCACCCCGTCACCCCCCATGCCCCCATCACCCCCCTGTCACCCCCTGTCACTCCCTGTCACTTCCCTGTCACCCCAATGTCACTCCCTGTCACCCCCGTCACCCCATGTCACCACATCACCCCCATGTCACTCGTCACCCCAATGTCACTCCCTGTCACCCCCATGTCACCCCCCTGTCACCCCAATGTCACCCCCGGCACACCCCCCTGTCACCCCCTCACCCCCCTGTCACCCCCCTTGTCACTCCCTGTCACCCCGTCACCGCAATGTCACTCCGTCACCCTCGTCACCCCCCTGTCACCCCGTCACCCCCTGTCACCCCATGTCACTCCCTGTCACCCCCCTGTCACCCCATGTCACTCCCTGTCACTTCCCTGTCACCCCAATGTCACTCCGTCACCCTCATCACCCCATCGTCACCCCCGTCACTCCCCATGTCACTCCCTGTCACCCCAATGTCACTCCCTGTCACCCCCATGTCACCCCCTGTCACCCCCGTCACCCCCCTGTCACCCCCTCACCCCCATGTCACTCCGTCACCCCAATGTCACTCCCTGTCACCCCCATGTCACCCCCTGTCACCCCCGTTGTCACTCCCCATCACCCCCTGTCACCCCCAGGTCACCCCTGTCACCCCCGTCACCCCGTCACCCCCCAGGTCACCCCATCACCCCCCAGTGTTCACCCGCTGTCACCCCCCTGTCACCCCGTCACCCCCCATGTCACTCCCCATCACCCTGTCACCCCCAGGTCACCCGCTGTCACCCCCCTGTCACCCCGTCACCCCCCATGTCACTCCCCATCACCCCGTCACCCCCAGGTCACCCGCTGTCACCCCCATCACCCTCGTCACCCCCATGTCACCCCATCACTCCCGTCACCCCGTCACCCCCCTGTCACCCCCATGTCACTCCCCATCACCCCGTCACCCCCAGGTCACCCGCTGTCACCCCCATCACCCCGTCACCCCCCATGTCACTCCCCATCACCCTGTCACCCCCAGGTCACCCCTGTCACCCCCCTGTCACCCCGTCACCCCCCATGTCACTCCCCATCACCCTGTCACCCCCAGGGCACCCGCTGTCACCCCCCTGTCACCCCGTCACCCCCCATGTCACTCCCCATCACCCCGTCACCCCCATGTCACTCCCCTCTTCCACCGTCCACCACCCCCAGGGCACCCGCTGTCCCCCCATCACCCCGGACGAGGGCTAAGGGAGCTGCCCGGTGGCCCCGTGGCCGCCCCGCCCGCAGCGCCGCCCCCTTTATGATGTTTGCCGCAGCGGCTGCCGGTGGCATGTGCACGGCGCCCGAAGGCAAACAGAGGCAGATGGGGAGCCTTGACCCGCTGGCGGGTGCTCCTGGGCGCGGACGACAGGTTTGAGCCGTGAGGGAGGAGGAGGCTGCTGGGCCAGGGGGGCACCTCACCGGGCCGACTCCATAAACGGAGCCGTTCTGTTCAATGTCAGGATCCCTCGCAGCCGAAACCGGAGTGGCTCAGTGGGCAGAGCGTCGGTCTGCGGACTGAAGGGTCCCGGGTTCGATTCCAGCCAAGGGCATGTGCCTCGGTTGCGGGCACATCCCCAGTGGGGGGTGTGCAGGAGGCAGCTGGTCGATGTTTCTCTCTTATCGATGTTTCTAACTCTCTGTCCCTCTCTCTATCTCTGTAAAAAAATCAATAAAATGTATTAAAAAAAAAAAAAAAGATCCATCGTAGCTGAGAAACAGGAACTCTGGCTTCAGTGATGAAGTGGGGCCCTGGCTGGTCTGGCTCGGTGGACAGAGTGTCGGCCTGCAGACCGAAGGGTCCCAGGTCCGATGCCAGTCAAGGGCACATATCTTGGTTGCAGGCTCCTCCCCAGCCCAGGCCCTGGTCAGGGTGCATGCAGGAGGCAACACATCGATATGTCTCTCACATCGGAATTTCCCTCTCTCTTCCAGTCTCTCTAAAAACGTTTGTTTATTTATTTATTTATTTATTTTTAAATGTGAACTGCAGTTTATTTTTATTTTCATTTTTCTATATTTTATTGG